AACGTAATAAACCCATGAATCATACAAGGTTTTTGCTGTTAGCAAGGTTTATGTCTAAACTGTGGGGAGGAATTTTTAAAACTTCAAAGTAAGTATAAATTCATTATTTATAAGCTGTGAGATAAGGGAACTTATTTTTTATTTCAAATGTGATAATATTCTTTTATTAATTTTGATCAGGTGGGAATTATAATATATTTTACATAGAAGTTCCTTTTTTGTGCTTGAATTTTTGCAGTACAATTTTTTACATTACTTCAGAGAAAAATGATGAAATGTGCTGTTTTTTAAATGTTATTTATTTGAAATTTTTAGGGAGACTATTTAGTGTTAAACATACAGTATTTTATATAAATATTAAGAATTAATTAAATTTGAAGTCAAGTTAAAAAATAAAATTTGTAAAAGTATTAAGATAAAAGAAAATTAAATAAAAATAAAAAAAGGTACCTAAGTCATTATTTTATTTTGTAATAAAATATTAAATTCACAACTTTTGCAATCTTTCAATTTAATTTATACATCCAATGAAAGTTTGTTATTTGGGGAAGTATTGAAAGAGTTTGATAAAATTTATAGAGATATTAAGAGAAATTTCGGTTTTATCCTACACAACGTAAACGTATGCAGCAACGAATCCATTTAAGGAGGATCGTAACACCTACTAGCTTTAATTAGCGTTGCGCTTCTGTAGCCAACGTTCGTGCATATGAATAGATATCTCGGTTTCGTTTAATCGAATTAACTTCAAAATGACCAAATACATGCAATGCATTTAAACGTTAATGTAATGTTCACAGTTCTAAGGATACGACGAAACCTTAATTAAAACGAAATCATCTTACCATTCTAATCTTATTTAAAAGTTTTATACGATTGAATTACTATATGCTTTTAAAATGGTTATAAATTCTCTGTAAATTAGAGCTTTTATTGAACAGAGATGCAATGGTGACAAGAAAATTTTCTATATTATAAATTTAACAATTTAGAAAATTTAGAAATTTAAGAACTTGAGTTTGGAGATTTCAATGTTGAGGAATTGATAATTTTGGAAATATAGAAATTTAGAAATGAATTTTTAAATGTAAAAATTTGGGAATTTGCAAAGTATCAAGTTTCTAAAAATTTAAATAGGTTGGTTTCCAATTTCTCAAATTCAGGTTTGCAGAGAATCAAATTTCAAAGTATCCAAATTTCCAAGACCTTATTCCAATTTCTCAAATTCCCAGTTCTCTAAAATTGCAGAGCATCAAATTTCAAAATTCTCAAATTGTCAAGTTTGCAATTTCCAATTTCCCAAATTCCCAGTTCCCCAAATTTGCAAAGCATCAAATTTCAAAATACCCAAACTGACACGTTTCCAATTTTTCAAGCTTAATTCGCAATTTCCAAAATTCCCAATTCCCCAAATTCAAATTTTATGAACTGGGATATTTCTATGTTTTCCAAATTTTCAAATTCTCAAATACCACAACAAAAATTTCCAAATTTACAATATAGGAATTGTCAGTCATCCAAATCTCCAATTTTCAAGTTCTCTACTAAACAAATTTCTATATCACCATCTTTCTAAATTTTTTAAACCCCAATTTTAAAAATTGAATTTTAAAACAGTTTCTCCCTTGAAGATTCCATTCCTCGTACCACAATAACTTTCAGGCAGCAATACAATATTCAAATTGTCAGTCATCCAGATCTCCAATTTCCAAATTCTCCACTCATCAAATTTCTATATCTTTCTAAATTTCTAAACCCCAATTTTGAAAATTGAATTTTAAAACAGCCCCCCTTACGATATCATTCCGCATGCAATAATTTTGAGACGGCAATCCATTTTCCGTACGTAAACACCTCCAGTATCAAAGATAATCAAAATCCTCTGCAAGTTTTCCCACGCAAGCATCTAATCTGGCGCACAATAACAGTATTGTCGTCAACAGAAACGAGCAACTTGTACAAACTGTATCTGATACATAACGCAACAAGATCCCGCAAATACAAATTGTTGTACGGATATGTACTTACGTACTCTAGGGAAGGTGCGTTCGCCGATACACAAGTAAACAGAGGATCCGTGTGAGTGTATGTGTGTATATCGAATACCCAATGCTCGACAGAACGTACAGAGAATAGCGTAGTATAAAGCATAAACTACAATTAGCGGTAATCCGCGTGACACAGGCATGGCACCCTTTGCGCATATTAAAGCATTAGCTGCCGAGTCATACGAGCGAACCGTACATCATTTCGGGACGTGGCCACGTCTGCTGGTAAAATCGTTAAATTCACGAAGGAACACGGCTGGCCCGATACGTACTGACTGAATATTAGTGGCACCACGCGATGCATGTTGTGTGCGTCAGAATGCCGACAGAAACGTGAGAGTTTCCCTGGGTCGCGGAGAAAAAACCCGGTCATCGAGATAAATTACGAATGAAATTCGATGGAAACGCTTTTTCGACACGAGAATAGGATGTACGTGTGGATAGATGGGGATTAGGGTGCGTCTGGCGTACTCAAAATATGGATTGGTTCTTGCTGTGGGGAACTCGTATAATTCGCATTAGAAATTTTTTATTTTTCAAGCTTTTTCAAGGTTTTTCAAGGTTTTTAAATTTTTATTTGGGAATTTGGATAACTTCACCTATTTCTGGATTTAGGAATTTTTATATTTGCTACAGATTTACATATTATTAAATTTCTAATTTGTATGTTTAATTTGTAAAATCTACATTTATGAATTTTCACATTTCCAATTTATAAAATACCAAATTTCTGAACTTTCAATTCTTGGAATCCTGCACTTCCAGTTCCCGAATATCTCATTTGCAAATTTCCAAATTTACACCTTTACAATTCCCAAATTTTCAAGCTTGTAATCCTTAAACTTTGAAATTTTTAATTGTCAAATTTCTAAATTCTAAATTTCCCATCTCTGATTCCCAAATGCCACAAACTTCTAATTCTCAAGTTAGTAAATTCTACATTTCTAAATTTCCACATTTCTAATTTATAAAGTACCAAATTTCTGAACCTTCAATTTTTTAAATTCTGCACTCCTAATTCCCAAATTTCTAATTCCCAAATTTTCAAGCTTGTAATCCTTACACTTTCAAATTTTTAATTGTCAAATTTCTAAATTCTAAATTTCCCATCTCTGATCCCCAAGTGCCACCTAATCACGCGTCCCATTTTAAAACATGAAATCCATGTTAAAGACAATTTTAAACTATCCAATGCCTGTACATCTTCCACAATGTCGCACTAATTTATTTAGTGACCAGAGTACAAAATATCTCGGGCAAGCGATATTTCAACGACTATAAAAACTGCAACGTCCTTTCAGCTACAGTTACCAATCGGCTTTGTACAGTTCGAACCAGGTAAGCTTCCTTGAGACCATTTAAAGTGGTTTAATGAATGTACATTTCTCTGCCATCCTAAATCGATTTCCCGAACCACTTGTCCACGTTTGCGGACGCTAGTTTTTTCTTTTATAAAATTCCAACTCGACGAACCAAGATAACCGTTGGCCAGCAGTATTCCAATTTCTTCGTTTCAATTAACAGAAAAGTTTCGAACAACAGCCTCGAATGAAACAAATGTGGTTCCATGAATTGGCCTCATCGGTCACCAGGGAAGCGTGGAACACCGTAGTTCTCTCTACCATTCTCATTTGCGGTCGTCGGTCCACTACCATTCCGTTTCCCCACAAACTGCTTTCGTCCCCTTACACCTTCATATATTTTGTTCTAACAAGTTTACCTTATATTGTAAGACTTATTGAACTTATCTGAACGCGTAACATGATTTACTGCTGACTTGTTAGATAATATTGTTTTCTTGTGTGACACCAGGATTGAGGAAAACGTTTCGCCTGTTTGATATTTGGTATATTCTTACTTCAGGTTTCTCTGGTTTTAGGTAAAAGTTTCATTAATATTACTTAATTAAACAAATGTAGTGTACAGAATAAAATAGATTTAAGTATAAGATGTCCAAGTATTGTCAGAAAATGTAGAATAAATTTTTTTTTGTATTAGATTTTGTAGTACAACTAAATTTGTATGTCTTCCAAAATATTTATTTGAATTTTTATTTATTGTAGTGAACATAAAAATTTCAACAATTTTTTAATTAATTAAATAGGTTATTATAAATTTTGTACTAAATATAATTATTAATAATCAATGTCTATCCATTATCTGTATTCCCATAATTATAATTTTATTGTAACATAACAATAAGTAGAATGTAAAATTTATAAAATTATTCTCCACTGCTGTCAAATTGAAAATAAAATTGATATTATGAACTTGATGTGATAATTTAAATTTGAAGTCGATCCTTTTCCCTCCTTTTATTTATACACTAAATATAATCTTGAAAGAAAGATATTGTATTTTACAATTTACAAAACACTACTATTATGTTTTAATAATAGTTAATAAATAAAGCGTCGAGGGTATAAAATGTTTTATTACATTTTCTCTTGCTTATTCTAAATGTATTTTATTTTCCTGTTCCCCGGTATACCTTTCATCTGTTATTCCATTTATTTTACGAAATAAAATGCATGAGATAGTAAAAGCATTAGTGTTCTTAAAATATCAGTTTCATAACGAAAATTTATTAACCTGCAGGCATCCAATATTTTTTAAGTAAATTACTTTTTCGTAAGTCTCTTTATATAAATGAATTTGACATAGCAGCAGTATTTCAATATTCCCCCTATATCTCTCTGATATTCGGCTAAATATGGTTTGCAACCCTAACTTCAAAGGCAACCCTTTCGAAGTGGACGATAAAAAGAAATATGCATTGGATATTTTTTCGAATTCTGCATCATATTCAAATTTCGTTAAAATCGACGAGTGTCAAACTTCGTAAAAGTCGGAAGTTTGCATATGTTACTAGATTCATGAGGTTACCTAGGAATATATTTTTTAACGAATTTGTAAAGTTGGTGGCGCTGGCTGAGAATACTTGAACATAGCCAAATAACAATCACGGTGTTTCAATGTGCTGTCGATAGTAGTGGACTATGTTAACAGAGATTTATTCACAAACGAATATTACATTATAAACAAGTATCATGACAATCCTGTCTAAATTAAGTGATCGATCGGTGCTGTATAAAATATGAAATATCCATTTCTGATCTATAGTATCACTGAAATGCGACACTTAACCTTATAGTTTGTAGAGGTTATGTTGTGAAGTAAATAATTTTCTACGAAGTCAAAGACTTTTTAAAGGAATTTCTTACAACAAACCTTGCAAAATGTCGTATTTAACGAGAAAGGAAATAGATGAAATGAAACCGCAAATTGAAAAAGCGGTTCATAAGTTTCTCGGTTTTGGAGAACCTGCTATTGTTACCACTGCTGTCAATTGTATTACTTCTGGATATGATAAACGCAAAACAGCGGGTTAGTAGTCGGTTCTTTTAATAAAAATTATGTACTACCTTTGTCCAAAAACTATTTTAATACTTAAATTTTTAATTCTTACTTTAAACTCTTGGAACGCAGCTGTGTTTTGATTCTCCATCCTCAATGCATTGTAATAAAGACTATAAAACAGTTTTATAAATGCTATTTGTTACTTACAGTTTATAAATGTATTTGCTCATTGCTACGATTCACTTTAAAATTAAAGTAACATTATTACGATATAAAAATGTATAAATATAACACTTATTTTGGAGCATAAGAAGTAACATAATTATAATATATTGAATCATTTAATATATTTCTTCAATAATTGTTTCTATAATATATAAATACCTTTTAGACAAATTATCTGCTTTGTTGGAAGACAAAAAGGCTTCAAAATTAACTGAGAAAATATTTGCGATTTATGACGATGCTAGGGCAGCACAAAAAAGTAAAAAGCGTAATCATGTGGAAGACAAAGATAAAGACAAAGATGCGAAGAAACCTAGATTCAGGGACGATGAGGTCAAAAATGAGAAAACAACGGAAGCACAACTATCAGCAGATAAGGTATTTAGTTTATGTATATATAAGTACAATGATGTTAATAATATATTAATTGCGTATTTATTAATTCATTATGCAGATACGACAAATGATGGCTAATGCCCAACGAGAGATCGAAGAAAGGAAGAGGGCATTGAAAGCGATAAAACAGGAAGAATCAGCACCAGTGAAACCTTTATTAAAAGCGCGAGATTCGTTGCCAACAGTAGGAAGCATGTATAATCAAGGTCTATTAAGTAAAACAGATTCGGACAAAGCACGAAAAATTGCTGCATTACAAGCTCAAATTAGAAGTAAACTAAGCTCGGGATTACTGGGTAATGTCAATGTACCAGATAAACCAACTCCATTGATCTTAGATGAATCTGGAAGAACTGTAGATATAACGGGCAAGGAAGTTCAACTTACTCAAGTAGTGCCAACGTTAAAAGCAAATATTCGAGCAAAGAAACGCGAAGAATTCAAAGCACAGTTACAAGAATCTAAAGGTCCAGAAGAAATCCAGGATACGCACTTCTTCGACACCAGAATAGGTGTGAAACCTGCAATACGTGGCAAGCGTACGTTGAAATTTCATGAACCGGGAAAATTCCAACAGTTGGCCGAAAGAATTCGTATGAAAGCCCAGTTAGAGAAATTGCAAAATGAAATTAGTCAAATTGCTAGAAAAACTGGTATAAGTTCAGCGACAAAATTGGCGCTCATAGCGCCAAAAACTGAAGCCCTTAGCGAAGATGTGCCTAACGTAGAATGGTGGGATTCTGTTATATTAACAGGGGGATATCCAAATGAAGATGAACCTACAACCATTAAAAATTCTACTATTACGAATCTAGTGGAACATCCTACACAAATGCGACCGCCAAGTACGTATTTAAATATATTCATCGTCCGGATGTATATATACAGTTGTAATTACTTTCTTCCTTTTATTTTAGCCGATCCATTAAAACCGATATACATGCCCGTATTTTTAACAAAGAAGGAACGCAAAAAATTACGTAGACAAAATAGACGGGAGGCTTGGAAGGAAGAACAAGAGAAAATTCGATTAGGTCTGGAGCCGCCACCAGAACCAAAATTACGAATTTCAAATCTTATGCGAGTGTTAGGTACAGAAGCCGTACAAGACCCCACTAAAATTGAAGCCCATGTTCGGCAGCAAATGGCTAAAAGATTAAAGGCCCATGAGGATGCTAATGCGGCACGTAGACTCACTGCTGATCAACGACGTGAAAAGAAAGCGCGGAAACTTAAGGAGGACACTACACTTGGTGTACATGTAGCTGTTTATAGGTAAAATTTAATTCATTATAATTCCGTACGGGCCAGATAACCTAATATGTCAAGTAACTTCGGTTTACATTCAGAAAAATACGGTTCTTTGTTTTCAAACAAAATGCTGTCAGATAACCTTGAAACTTCTAAACGAAACATATTTTGTTTACATCACGGAAACTAACCCCAATTTATAATCTCGGGTATCTGAACGTTGCTATAAATCATAATTGCTTACTGCACATAACTTTATGTATTTTTTATTTTTACTGTTTCAGAATACGCGATCTTGTAAACAACGCTTCGAAGAAGTTTAAAGTCGAAACAAACGCGAAACAGCTGTATCTCACAGGCTGTGTAATGCTTTTCCGCGACTGCAATGTTGTCGTAGTAGAAGGGGGAGCAAAACAGTTAAGTAAATATAAACGATTGATGATGCATCGTATCAAGTGGGAGGAAGATATCATAAAAGACAACGATGGAAACGATGTACCAAACAAATGTGTACTTGTATGGGAAGGTACTAGTAAACAACGTCATTTTGGGGAAATCAAATTTAAGGTTTGCCCGATCGAAAAGATGGCTCGGGAACATTTTAAGAAACACCAGGTTGAACATTACTGGGATTTAGCTTACAGTGGGGCGGTTCTCGATAACACGGATGATATTCATTCTTAGAAGCCACTCTGTAATTTAAGCAATAAATGTTAATGCTAATACAAATGCAACTATAGATAATTTCAGTACGATTCAAATAAGTAATTACTATGGAAGCATAGTGAGAAAGTGAAAATGTAAGCAGTGGCACACAGCGCGAAAATAAAAGTGCTCAAGGCCTCTGATAACATAGTTTTCTTTTCAAGTAGCTAGAGACCCTTGGATCCAAGATGTGTAGTTGAGTCTTCGACGTGAATTCACGAATCAGATAGAAATATAGCTACATATTATGTAAATATCGATATTCGATTCAAGATTATACTTTCCATTAGCTATTGAACAAATATTCACAAAGTGATAATAACATTTAGAATGAATTCCAAATTTGTTGATACCTTCAAGGTATTATTAAAAAATATGTTTATGTTTCGTTTTACGTGATTCTATTATTGAATCTTAGTTTATACTTGAAGAACATTGATCATTTGACAAAACTTCAAACTTTCATTCTTTAAACTCTAGACTATATTTTTCAGTATGTCTTCCCACGCGCGACATAAATAACTGCACGTGACGCATAATATCCTTTTGTGGATTCTCGCAGTAAGATCGTAGGCGCATAAAGCAGTGAATCAATCACAACGTCGTCTCCAAGAATGTTAATCCATAGTCGACATTACGGTCAAGCCTGCGAGTGTCAATTAACATAGCGCGATGACACTGTGCTGCTAAAAAAACGCAAAGTATGTCGCGAAGATGCACACAGGATCAGAGCCGCCTCTAAAGGTTGTGGAACCCTGAGTAAAAGTCCATGTGATCAAGAAGATAGATACAGAGCCGGCACCAGCACATGTACACCCGGTTCTAAAATAATTTCAGACTGAAGTAGTGTCATCTATACATTTCAAACCTGATACGCTTCAAATATACACTACTTCAAGCTTGAGATGATTAGAATGTGCGACTATTGGTTTTCTCTATTTTTTTTGTAAATGATGCTTTTGAGTTGTACCATTCTTTTAGGTTGACAGTATGATACTGTAGTGTTTTGCAAAATTTATGATGAACTATTCACTGACATTTGGTTTCAGAATCTCATACATGTAACAAATTGTTGATACTATTGGACTCTGTAATTGATACAGCCTTATGAAAATCTAACTCAAATCTATCTCACCGCTAACTCAAATTTTATTAATAAAAACAGAAATTTGTTATCAAGCAAAATGAGCACTTAGGACAGTAAATGAAGGATACCACAAAAACTACCCATTGTCACATTTGTTATGGAGTATATTTTCCTAGGTCACAAATTTTCCAAATGTCAAAGTCACAAAGTTCATCTTTAAATCTCAAAGTCTCTAAATTATACAACCCTATAGTTCTACAATTCCAAAGTTTCAACACCTCACAATTCCAAAACCCCATAGTGCCAACAGACCTAATATCTCTGGATTTCATTATCTCAAAATGACAAAGTTTTGAAGCGTCAAAATTCTGAAATTAAAACATTCCAAACTTCTAAAGTCCCTAATTAGAAAAATTGTAAAATCACAATATTTCAAGTTCTCATTCCAATGTCTCAGAGTATTAACGTTAAACAATTATGAAGTCCTAAAATCCCAAAGTCCAAATTTTCACAAAATCATAATACCAAAGTTCTGTGATTAAAAAATTCTAATGTCCCAAAATTTAGAAATTCTAAAGCACAATGCCCCAAAGTCCCAAAATCTTATCTTTCCAAAAGAGAGAAGTCCCAAAGTTCCAACTTTCCAAATTTCAAAAGTCCCAAAGTTCCAACTTTCCACAATTCAAAAATCCTAAAGTCCCAAAGTTCCAAAATTAAATAATTTTAGTCCCAAACACAGGGTCTGGGCACACAAGTGGCCCGATTGCCCGGCGCAAACGTCGGTACTGCGCAGATGTGTCCACAGAGCGTACCATAAGATAGAAAAGTACGAGTGCACGTTGATGGGCCTTGAAACTGTACGTCCAACCGCGACTACGAGTTAGATTCCATGAAAGGTGAACCTTGGTCTTGCTCGTAACACCGATGCAACACTTTTACCGTACAATACACTGTACATTGTTGACACCCTGTATTACCGTTATCCTCACAGGGGCCCCACTCTTTGAACCGACCGTGCAGGACTGGTGGAGTTTTACTTTCGTTCGAGAATCGGTCTTAGTTCAGCTTTGCAGCTTCGTGTTCTTGCACATATTAACCGGTGTGACCGTTACGAGATTTCAAATGAATTCTATCGCGAATTGACATTGCACTTTCTGAAAAATGAAACGAAGACCGATCAACGGTACATTCGCCTTCCTGTCGCGGTGAGTGTTTCATTCTTCGAGATGACCGATAACGCAACCCCGAGATTATTTTCTTACTGTTTGAATAACGACTGAAGCTTCTTAACATAACTTCGTGGGTAGTTAAACACTTGGGTCCTTAACCTTTCGTTGCATATTTCATGTATGCTACAATAGCAAAATCTTGTATTTTAAACGTAATAGTAAATTTCATATTTGAACGATTTATTGAAAATTTTTCTTATCTTTCGAAATTACAATTTTTTGTTATGTCTTTAAATGTTTATGTCTTAGATGAAACATATCTTTCTTTAAAGATTTTTTAATACACATTGTTATACTTTATTTATTTGTGAGACATCTTTTTTCAAAATTGAAAAAATGCGACGAAGGGTAAGAAGGAGATATAAAGTTTCGTTTAAATACTTGAAAATATTGGTAGACTGATCAGTCAGTTACTGATAATACTTAATCGTGCGTTTTCCATATTACCTGTCACCGAATAGACGCTGTTTCATAACACGTGTTTATATAAAATTATTTTGTACACTACGGCTTATTTTTATAATAAAATGTAATACTTCAGAACAATTGGAAACGTGTATCTTGTAACGTATATTGTATATATTATTTTATTAAAATTATCATGTACTAAAACGAAGGGCACAGTTATATTTATTTTGCAAATAAAGTTTGAGTCTTCAAATAATTGAATGCTTTAAAAATTCCTTCATCCGTTATATGAACGATAGAATAATTCTTATTTTGAATATATAATGAATTATCAATTGTATATATTTTTGCTATGAAAATGTAGAGGCATAAAATGTGTTGTAAATTGATAAACAGTTTTTCTTAAAATTATAATCTTTTTCATTCTGTATCAATATTCGTAATGTAGAATGAAATATATCATTTCAAAAGATATTATTTTTGGTATTATTGTTTAATAAATAAAATTAGATGTAGCTTGATATGTGCGAGTTACCTGCACGAAGCTAGTTGGTTCATTTTAAAAAAATATTTTGATGCTTTTTAAGCGCCATTTAATTATTTCTTTAATTAAAATGTATTTCTGGATTTTTAGATGCATAAAATATTGATTATATAACTAACTTTACATAATAGAATTTTATTGCAGTGATTCTCACAGAAATTTGCATTTAATCTTCAAAATATTCATCCAAAAACATTAGTTACAGAAATAACAGTATTTTAGAATTTCACATTAGTATCATAAATTAGTAATAAACTATATATTATACATATTTAGCATAACTATAATTTTATGGACCAAAATTCTCTTGCATAATGCAAATATGAATATTTTGAAGATCAAGTTTAAGTTATTACTATGTAAAATGCTAATTTATGCATACACACACAATGTTCGTACTCATCTAGTTAAAAAACTTATTTTATTTATTTGTGTGATAGAATTACTCCATAAACTAAAGATCGGGCTTTAAGCATGATTTATTAGAAATGATATCATAAAATCGAACATTAAAGAAGCACGTAGCACGAATAGCAACCATTCGGTTTCGGTGTCAGAAGAAAATTAACGATTGTAAAAAGTTTCTTTCGTAAAAGCGAATCACGTAGCCAGATAATGGCTCCCATCAATTTATACGAACACTAATCACGGGAACAGCTAGGATTACGTAAGAAAATCACAAAAGGATCAGGAAGGAGCTTAAATGTCAAACAGCGTGTCCTCCCCGATCTCCACTCGGGGCAAAAAAAAAAGAGAAAAGACAATTAACTGATCGAAAGGCTTATCCTCGGAACATAGGTGAATCGATGAATGAATTTAATGCGATAAACAATACGATCCAAGCGAAATGCCATCACCTGGACAAGGTCTCTTAAGATTCATTGTGATTCTTGCGATAAATGTTGAAACTAGTCACGCGATGCTCTCTCCTATCGTTAAATTCATTAGCTCGACTATTTTACCAACGAGAAACTTAATTTATCGAGGAATCGTGTGAATATTCTTCTACCCTCGGTCGCATCGCGTGGAAATGTTGATTAGTTTCGTTTGCAACGGACGTAGGGATTTATAATCCAAATGCGATCAACCCTACAATTGTATTTTTAATGAACAGATCCTATCTCATGATTGTTGAGTTAGGTTATGAAGAATGCATTGAATTTACATGACAATTATTGGGCAACGTCCTGCTCCACGTATCAACGCATGCTTCTAGTCACAAATGATTTCTCACGGCTTCACAAGAGGACGCTGAAAAATTGCTATGGTGTTTTCAACATCTTTTCTATTCTCATGATGTCGCGCGTTTAAGTTTCGTTGTTGTCAGTTTTCCACGTACCCGGTGCATTTTCTTTTCTTTTACATCTCTGTCACATGAGTAATTAAAATTATTACTAACCTTTGTTATAGCGTGTTGCAACTATATTGCATAAAAATATTTTCGTATTTTGTTAAACATTAATGAATTGCAGATTTCATAGTTGATGACAAAATTCTTTTTGTCAGCATAATTTTTTGTGAGTATAATTATACATGGTTGTATTTATTATCTTGCAACTTAATATTTTTTATTTGTTTATTATTTTTACATGGAAAAGTACGATAATATATTTTTCTTAAAATTGAAAAAGTCATGCAGCAAAGAATTAATCATAAATTAAATTATTCATAAAAATTATTAATAAGTTCATCCATTTCTGATAGTAAATATTCTCACTAATATAGAAGTCATCAATTTTCACTTTTTATATTGTGAAATATATTTTGTTTTTATATTGTTAATTAAATCTCCAAAGCATTTATGTTACAAAATCAATTACAATAATTAAGCCTATTGGAATTCAACCATTTCTGATAACAGTCATAAACTATTTCTCACGTCTTCACAAAAGGAAAGTATGAACTGACTGCAGTGTTCAATTCTCGCGATATTAAAAGTTCAAGATCGTTAGCAAATCGTATCTAGTAATTCTTCAATTTTTATCGTGTGATTAGATGTTATCTACTTAAAACTAGAGAAAGGTCGAGACATCTATCCGAGGTATGTATAGAGATGTAGTAATGTTGAAATTCAGAGATATGGGGATTTAGGTATACAGATCTAGATATAATTGTAGATCTAGAATATAGAGATATACAAATACGAATTGTTACTAGATTTAAATGTTTTGCAAACTTGACAATTTTATAAACATAACATTGAAACAACGTAAAGATCCCCTTGTTCTCACGACATGAATACCAAAGACATTTCATACAAGCACATTATCTTCGACTTTATTACAGATAATTGACGAGTATATTCTCACAAGATTACACTTCAAGTAACTAGAATTATTGCAAGAACCTCGAAGTATCTGTTGTGCGAATCCTTTCTGTTCTCATAGGATCCTTTCATCCACCATTGTCATTAACCCTTTTTCTGTGAAAACAATCTCGCACTCTACTTTCATTATCAACGATATTAATTCATGTAAATATTAACACACACTCAATCTAATCGTGGTAGTCAGAAATCCGGATAGATAAAATATATTGATAGAACAGATAAAAATATTATTGATATTCAAACAATTTTGATAAAAATATCTCCACATTAAAAATTCGACTTCAACCCAATTTAGGAATGCTTCATTTACTTTGTAATAATATTTAAATATTACATAAATATGTTTTAAAATTATAATATACCAAAAAGAAGGTTTCATTTAAACTTTCAAACAAACAATTCATTATGGTCTCTTCGATGGAAGTGTATAAAAATAACGACTATGTTATTTATAAAGATGAAAATATTGACAAGACAAATACGAAAAATTTTGTATATTAAATAAGCATCGTCCTTTTATTAGGTAACTTTGTACCACAAACGAATTATCAATGTGAGCGGATAAGCCTTGACCGGATAAAAGTTAACCCTCCATGTTCCAGCTTTGCGCACGAACAAGTTTGTATTTCCTATCCCTAGATTCCGATTCGCAGATTGCTCACCTTGTTCGTACTGGTCGAGAGCGCTATACTGCCGTCCAACATGCTGCTGGATCTGGGCAGACGTACAAACATATCCATGGAGAAGTACCAACAAGCGGAACAGGCGATACTGACATCGCACACCCATCTGAATCACGGATCACCGTCATGGTTCCTCGGCGCGTCTCACGAGATGACCGAACACGCTCAGAACCTGTCCAGGAAGGCCTTGCGAATCGAAACGATGGCTGTGATGTTGGTAGAGGCTTTGAACATGTCCTCTAAAGAAGCATCCTCCGTGTTGCCTTCCGTGGCTGCTATCAGTTGCAACGGTTCGCCCACATTTCTGCAGCTGACGAACACCTGCGAGAACGTGGATCCTCGTTACAGAACGCACACCGGGAAATGCAACAACGGTTTGCATCCGTCATGGGGTGCCGCCATGGAGGCTTACGTGAGATTTTTACCGGCGGGTCATTAACCCTTTTTCTGTGAAAACAATCTCGCACTCTACTTTCATTATCAACGATATTAATTCATGTAAATATTAACACACACTCAATCTAATCGTGGTAGTCAGAAATCCGGATAGATAAAATATATTGATAGAACAGATAAAAATATTATTGATATTCAAACAATTTTGATAAAAATATCTCCACATTAAAAATTCGACTTCAACCCAATTTAGGAATGCTTCATTTACTTTGTAATAATATTTAAATATTACATAAATATGTTTTAAAATTATAATATACCAAAAAGAAGGTTTCATTTAAACTTTCAAACAAACAATTCATTATGGTCTCTTCGATGGAAGTGTATAAAAATAACGACTATGTTATTTATAAAGATGAAAATATTGACAAGACAAATACGAAAAATTTTGTATATTAAATAAGCATCGTCCTTTTATTAGGTAACTTTGTACCACAAACGAATTATCAATGTGAGCGGATAAGCCTTGACCGGATAAAAGTTAACCCTCCATGTTCCAGCTTTGCGCACGAACAAGTTTGTATTTCCTATCCCTAGATTCCGATTCGCAGATTGCTCACCTTGTTCGTACTGGTCGAGAGCGCTATACTGCCGTCCAACATGCTGCTGGATCTGGGCAGACGTACAAACATATCCATGGAGAAGTACCAACAAGCGGAACAGGCGATACTGACATCGCACACCCATCTGAATCACGGATCACCGTCATGGTTCCTCGGCGCGTCTCACGAGATGACCGAACACGCTCAGAACCTGTCCAGGAAGGCCTTGCGAATCGAAACGATGGCTGTGATGTTGGTAGAGGCTTTGAACATGTCCTCTAAAGAAGCATCCTCCGTGTTGCCTTCCGTGGCTGCTATCAGTTGCAACGGTTCGCCCACATTTCTGCAGCTGACGAACACCTGCGAGAACGTGGATCCTCGTTACAGAACGCACACCGGGAAATGCAACAACGGTTTGCATCCGTCATGGGGTGCCGCCATGGAGGCTTACGTGAGATTTTTACCGGCGGAATACGTGGACGGCGTTTCTTTGCCGCGGACGGATTTGCCCAGCGCCAGGGAGGTCTCCTTGGCGGTGCACTCGGGAGGATCCGATCTTAAACATCCGTACCTGATGGCGCTCACCGCGTTATTTGGACAGTTTCTCGTTCACGATCTGGCTCATACGCCGAAGATGGAACTACCTGATGGGGCCAGGTTGAAATGTTGCGACGTCGATTACGAACACTTCCATCCGGAATGCTTTCCAATCCGAGCCGATAATGCTGTCGGCTGCATGGAATATTCCAGGTCGGCGCCGCACCCAGGAAACTCGCTACAGGTAATGTAGATGCTCGTGCTAACCTTCGAGTCTTTCGCTTGTTCTTGATTAATAGGACCTTTGTAGTTGACGGCTTCCATAGAAGAATTAGGTAGGGAAACGAGAGTATGAGTAGTTGGATTTTGGTTGATCGAAGATCAGATTTGCGGAGCTTTGAGTTCGGAAGTTTAGCTATTTGAAATTTTTCGAATTTGGGAAATTTGAGAATTTGAGAGTCTTGAAGAATTTGAACAATTTGATAAAATTTGAGGAATTTGAGAAACTTGAGAAATTTGGGGAATCTGAAAGATTTGTAAAATTTGAGGAATTTGGAGAATATACAAAATTTGAAGAATTTAAAGAATTTGAAGAATGTGAAGAATTTATAGAATACGAATAATTAAAAAACTTGAAAATATGAAAATTCATAAATCCAAAAATGAGAGGATTTGGAAGTGTAATAATTCAGGGGTTTGAAACTTTAGAAATTTGAAAGTTTGATGATGCATTAATTGTGAACGAGTTAAAAAAAGAATTTTTTAAACGTAGGGATGCAAATTGGGTCCTCGACAGCAAATCAACCAAGCAACATCGTACTTAGACCTTTCTCCGGTTTATGGGAGTTCCGAAGAGGTAGCAAAAGCACTGCGCTCCGGCAAGGGTGGTTTGCTTAATACGCAAAGGAAGAACTTGCCCATGCCCTCGACGAAGTACGAAAGTTGCAGGAGCATGAACAAAGCTTTCCCGTGTTTTCTTAGCGGGGATACCCGGGTAAACGAGAATCCTGGTCTCACTCTAATGCACGTACTTTTTCTACGTGAACATAACCGAGTCGCAACAGAGCTGGGACAACTGAATCCTCACTGGGACGACGAAAGACTCTACCAGGAAGCAAGAAGGATCGTTATCGCGGAAATGGAGCATATAACTTATAACGAGTTTCTGCCCGTTGTTCTCGGCGAAACAACTCTCGACAAGTACGTGTACTCTCTTTCCCTTTATAATTAATTTAACGGATTAACAGGCTCCACTCGTTCGGCAAACGAATTCAACAAAACTTTCAATCCGTTCTTATGTTCTTTTTATATATTTTTTTTTTAATTAATATAGTATGCTTTTTGGGGAATTATACCCTTTGAAATTCTAATTGCGTTAATTGACTGATTTTGCATCAGTTTCTTTTTGTATTGATCTTGTTATTTATGTTACTGAATTATTACATTATTGAGGTAAATGTATTCGATCATGTCACCATTAGTGATCAGCTGTTTGCTTAATTTCATTGATAGTAACAAGTAAACCAATTAGTTGGTTGAAATCAGCAAACACTGATGTTTGAACTATTTCATTTACTAGTTCAATTTTTGTATTAACATTCTCGTATTAACATGTCTATTACAAAATTTGTGAAGGTTTCTTGAAATTTACATCCACTCTTATCAAGATAAGTTTATTTATTTCCCAGTTTCATTTTTAATTTTAAAGCGTGCTGGAATCAGGATATCATGAACTCGATGTTCTATTTTATCCAAAGAATAATTGCGTATTTTAATGCACGAAAGGTACCAGTTGCGGTTAGCAAATCGAGGATATTTTCGAGGATATGACACCCGAACGGACGCGACACTCTCAAACTCTGCCGCCTCTGCTGGACTCTTCTTCATTGCCACGCTGACCCCAAAAACTCTCGACCTAGTTGACTCTCGATCGGCGTTAAAGTCTGGAGAAAGGTCTTTGCTATCGGCCTTCTACGCTCCTCAAGAGTTCTATGAAGCTGGTGCTATTGATCGTTTGATCGTCGGCGCTACAGGTCAGTTGAAATTGTATGCAAATTCGACGAAAATGACTCCATGCTAAAAATCTGTCGTTCGAGTTATTTCTCGTTTAAACGTCTCGAAGAATTTCTGTTTAAGAAGCTAAGACCGGCACAGGTTTGTCATTAAAATCGACGCTGCCTCAAATGGCATGAGCTAAGTGCATGTCACATTCGAAAGTATCGAGGGTTCTAGTTACATCATTACCTTCTCGTGTGATCAAAGGTCAATGAACCGATTTATGTAATCGAATTATGTTCCTACAATGCTTTGTATCACTTATGTACATCTGTTTAAAATCACGAAATAATAGCGGATGAATTAAAACTTTGTAGAAAAACTTGAATTTGAACGGCGAGTAATGCTAATTTCACTTTTCTGATTCCATTTTTTGTTCAACATAAAAGTTTTCTCGGGAGAAGAATTGTTTATCCCAATTTTAATTTAACGTTTCGGCGAAGCTTCAAGTATTTTCTTTTTAAATGTATATGCAAATAGAAATTGAATGAAATTTTACTGAACGCTGCTTTTCCGACACATTGTCCCATGGGAGTTTGGTTTTAATAACGACCTAGGATGCAAGATTTAATTTCCGCGACAGCTGGACATTCTAGGAAGCCATTACCACCGGGACTGAATGAAATCCTTTTGGAACGATATTTCCACGACGGAAAAAGCAACGATATTGCGGTGGATTATGCTGCTCAGATCATACAACAGGGAAGAGATCACGGCTTACCGCCTTACGTCAGTTGGCGATCGTTCTGCGGTTTATCGCCTATCAATAGTTTCGATGATCTTAGAGGGATAATGGCCATGGACACCATAAATAGACTTCGAAGAGTTTATCGGTAATGTTTACAATTGTGTGAAAAAGTGTCACATCACTTAAACAGTAAATTAATAATTAAATCAAAATATATTGATATCAACCCCAATCAATATATTTTATTTATTTTATTTTTTGTTAATACTATCATATTTTGTATTTACTAATTTTCCAATTTTATAGAAATGTGGAAGATATTGATTTAGTGACTGGAGCACTTTCAGAAGCACCTTTACCTGATTCTGTTTTGGGACCCACGTTTCTCTGCTTATTAGGTCGTACCTTTCGAAACATTCGTTTAGGTAAGTAATTTTAACTAGTTTTCAATAGTACAGTGATCATTTATTTTCATAGCGAATAGCAATTAGTAAAAAATAATATTTAATCAATATTTATGTTCTAACTTTTTAATATAGCCGAGAAAGTTTAATTAAATTTCTGATATTAGATTTATACAAAAATATTTTGCATTTAGTTGGAATGAAATATAATAATTTTTTAAAAGTCAATTATATTAAAATTCGTACAAATAAATTTTGTTAACAGTACAAATGTTTAAAAATCAATATTATATTAAGAAAATTAAGATGAATGGTCACTTTGTTTAATTTATATCTATGCATAATTATTACCTAATTTTGTAATTATCTTGTAGGTGACAGATATTGGTACGAAAATGCGAACAGTCCCGGATCATTCACTCTGAATCAATTAGAGGAAATTAGGAAAATTAAGATGGCGCAAATTTTGTGTTACAATGGAGAAAGATTGAGCTGGATGCAGCCCAGAGCATTTCTTCTCAGAGACCGTTTTCTGTAAGTTCGTTGTTTCCAATAAAATGAACTCTAACGTATTTCAATGACAAATATTTCGTTTTCAGAAATGAAATGATAAATTGTACGACACTAACGAGTCTTTCGCCGAATTTTGCTGCTTGGAAGGAACAGAAGTCCTAATTTTTACGCTTTTTATAAGCGATGTTTAATTGTACATAACAAGCGTTATTCTTAATTATTATTAATAGAGAGGCCAGGTGTTCACATAATCAGCATTGTTCCTTACCGTAAAGAAATTAAACGCCGTGCTAATTTTAAGTTGCATTTAACGTTAAGGAACGTGTAGGTACTTGTTTCCTCAATTATTAAATGTAATTATCATATTCAATGAGAATCCAACATAAATTCTTCCATCAAATATTTAGCGTGAAAATGAATCACTTGTAAATAATGTGTAATTTTTTTACTGTATGTTTAGCTAAAAAAAGCATTGTACTTAGAAACTGTAAACGATATTCTTTATATGCAAAACGTTATCTAATACTTTGCATGTTAATTATTCGTCTCAAATATTTCATTCTTTTTTGTACTTTTATACTTAATTCTTTTGTATCTTTGCAATATCTATAATAATAATTTTGTAATATGTGAACTTCATTACTGCAAACTGTAAGCATAAACGTTTGAATTTGGTATTATTGTTTCTCTGCAGTAATTTAATTTCCTACAGTAACAAATAATTTCATGTTAAGGAAAAGAAATTTAGCTCTATTGAATTTTTATTAATATCTTTCAATATGAAAACAATGTAATTGTAATATTCATTGATATGAATATATCTGAAAGATTTCAGCATGTACATGAAAAACAATAATTGAACTTCTTTCTTTATTTATTTTATAATTTTACAATGTAATGTATATGTAATTTACACTAATGTAATATGGTCTATTTACATACACCAATAATTGTATCGAATCTTTCTGTCTTTGATTATTAACTCAAACATAGCAACCTTATAAGCTAGTTGCATCAGACTACATTTAAAGTCCGGAAACTACGAGCACCATCTTCCTATACAAACTAAGTTGTTGAAGAACTATTTCTTCTGATTTAGAAGACAGGAAAACGATGATCATTGTCCGCTTACACTCACGGATTATCTAAATTATTAAATTATCTTTTTATTTGTGATTTTCTCAATAACAGGTATTTCGTCATAATATTTAATCAGCCAATTATAATATCAGTAGTGTAGTAGAATATTCGGGATACTTCTCGAGCTTTAGGAGACAGGATGGCTATGCAAAGCGATGATTGGTGAATTCGTTTAGAGCCAAGCTGTCATTGGTGGGATAAGATTACGTACAATGGAGTGGGAGGGGACAAATTTCTAGTGCGCGCGTAGTGTGCGCATTACGAGTCTCTCTGAAGGTTGCATCACTACACGTGAAGTTGGGCTGTTTGCGTTTCTTCTAGATTTTCATAAATTCGATCGACAAAACGCGTAAAAATCAAAATGTTGGCTGCTGCTAGATTATTATCTCGTACCTGTACTGGTATTACCTGCGATGTCACAAGGAAACAGCAATTTAGTACAATCCTTAAAAATGTAAGTTACGATGGCGATTCACGACACGCTGATCATCGTTCTTTTTATTGAACGTTTTCTCGTCGTATTCAGTTTGTAGAATACCAAATCTAATTCGTCGCATACTCGACGCTAAATTTATCCTAGCATGTCTACTTTTTAGTTTTGAACATCTTAGTTGATCAGAAATACTTGTAATATGAACGCTTAAAACGTGCCGACTTTGTAGCCGGCACGTGATGTGGTCTCAATTTAGTCTTTATATCTTTTAAACTATTCGTGGAAAAAATTTGTGTATGTAACAAGATTTATTGTAGCTATGATTTTATATATATTGTTTATAACACGTGTTTCTTTTATTGTTATTTCATAGTCGGTATCACATTATCTTTGGTTAATTGAACGTTTTAAAATGTTTATTATTATTCAATATTTTTCAGGCTGCAGCACCTGCATTTATCACGCCACAACGGCCTACAGACCTACATCAGTATCGATACAAGTAAGTTCGACAAAATATTTTATATAGCGTGTTTAACCTTAGAACGCATACATTGTTGCAGCAATTCAGAATGTATACATCGTTTTAACAAATCAAACTACATACATCATTTTAGCAATTAATAGCATGAACATGTATTGACCTGGTTTCCTAATAAGTAGATATAACTGCTATACTTTTGAATATTTATTTTTAAACATCTTTACATTTTTCAGACATTACAAATATTATTGTATGATCATTATATACACGTATATCTAAAGTCATTGAGATAGTTACAGTGAGATTGTAATTATTAAAATTTCTCTGTATGCATTATAAGGTTAACGGTAGTTAAATATTTGTTCATTGGAATAACATAATTAACTATGTAATACTTGATTTTATGTTGTATCAAAGCAATTGTTTACCTGTACAGATCCGAAGGTGTCAAAGGCGCGGTTATTGGTATTGATCTTGGAACAACATTTTCATGTGTAGCTGTTATGGAAGGAAAACAAGCAAAAGTTATAGAAAATTCAGAAGGATCGAGAACAACTCCGTCTTATGTGGCATTCACTAAAGGTAAAAGCTTTTATTTCTATGTAAATATAATATAAATAAACAGTATTTCATACATGCATTATGTCAAGCTTAAGAGCACTTCACCTGAAAAGGATTAGAATTAGTATTGCATCATACTCTTATTAAGAGTAATTTGTTATCAATCCTATAGAATATTTACCTTAACTCTGTAACTGCTCTTATCATCTACATGTAATTAACATAACAGACTGCTTCCATTGTCTATTAGCAATTCAAACTATATGGTAGCTGCTTCAAAGTTCTTAAATTGATATATAAATGCTATATTAGTATATTTAAATCATCTTTGGTTTTATGAAGAACTAACCAATTTTCAGATGGAGAACGTTTAATTGGTATGCCAGCTAAGCGTCAAGCAGTTACGAATTCAGCAAACACATTTTACGCTACGAAACGATTAATTGGACGAAAATTTGACGACCCAGAAGTAAAGAAGGATATGTATGTATTACATGTTTTATTGTTAATATATTATTACAATTTATACCTACTTATGTCTAATTGCAGGAAAACAGTTTCATACAAAATTGTACGAGCTTCTAACGGGGATGCGTGGGTGCAGGGAGGTGATGGTAAAATGTATTCTCCTAGTCAAATCGGTGCATTTGTACTCATGAAAATGAAGGAAACAGCCGAATCGTATTTAAGTACATCAGTAAAAAATGCCGTAATTACTGTTCCCGCGTATTTCAACGATTCCCAAAGACAAGCTACCAAGGATGCTGGTCAAATTGCCGGACTTAATGTACTTAGAGTAATCAACGAACCAACAGCAGCCGCCCTTGCATATGGCATGGATAAAACGGAAGATAAAATGTAAGAATTGTGGTGCTTTTGGTTATGTTGTAAATATTATTATGATATATTTAAAAGAATGATGCTATTATTTTTCGTCGCTTAGGATGATTTCATCAAAGATGCTGAAATTATTTACTGACTAATTCTAGTATGATAGTCTTATTTATTTTCTCGCATATGAGAAATATTACATATACAATGTTTTTCAGTATTGCAGTGTACGATTTAGGTGGCGGTACTTTCGATATTTCAATTTTGGAAATCCAGAAAGGAGTGTTCGAAGTTAAATCCACGAACGGAGATACGTTCTTAGGAGGAGAAGACTTTGACAATGCATTAGTCACCTATCTTGCGGCGGAATTCAAAAAAGACGTATGTGCATCAAAATCGAATTATATCTTCATCGTGATAAAATTCATTTTATTCGCATATTCTAATCTTCCTCTTACAGCAAGGTATTGATGTCGCAAAAGATCCAATGGCTATGCAGCGATTGAAAGAAGCAGCTGAAAAGGCGAAAATTGAATTGTCGAGTTCTTTGCAAACCGACATTAATTTGCCTTATCTTACTATGGATTCAAGTGGACCAAAGCACTTAAACCTTAAGCTTTCAAGGAGTAAATTTGAAAGCCTCGTTTCCGATTTAATTAAACGTACCATTCAGCCATGCCAGAAAGCACTTTCTGATGCTGAAGTAACAAAGTCTGATATCGGTGAAGTATTGCTGGTTGGTGGTATGACAAGAGTACCTAAAGTTCAGCAGACTGTGCAGGACATCTTCGGTCGTCAACCATCGAAAGCCGTAAATCCTGATGAAGCTGTAGCCGTTGGTGCTGCGGTTCAAGGTGGTGTACTTGCTGGTGATGTAACGGACGTGCTTCTTTTGGACGTTACTCCTCTGTCACTTGGTAAATAATTATTTCCTCATATGTGCCCTAAGTTATTCATAGACCGTGATGTTTCAAATGGCTAATCTTCTCACTGATACAATTTGATGAATATAGTCACACTGAGTTAATATATTATTATAATAAATTGTTAATTTTGTAATTATGTTTACGCTATTGCTACAATTTGGTGTTTCTTTCTTAGGTATTGAAACGTTGGGCGGTGTTTTCACGAGATTAATTTCCCGAAACACGACTATTCCCACTAAGAAAAGTCAGGTATTCTCTACAGCGGCTGACGGCCAAACCCAAGTCGAAATTAAAGTACATCAGGGTGAACGAGAAATGGCTTCTGACAATAAACTTTTAGGACAATTTACTTTAGTCGGAATTCCGCCTGCACCCAGAGGAGTACCACAGATAGAAGTCACGTTTGATATTGATGCCAATGGTATCGTGCATGTATCCGCTAGAGATAAGGGAACCGGCAAAGAACAGCAAAGTATGTAGATAGTTTAATTCTATAAATTTAAATTAATTTAAATATATTATACTAATTTGTTTAATTTGTAGTTGTTATTCAATCAAGCGGTGGTCTTAGTAAGGATGATATTGAAAACATGGTGAAGAGCGCTGAACAGTATGCCAAGCAAGATAAGATTAAGAAGGACCGAGTTGAAGCCGTAAATCAAGCCGAGGGTATTATTCACGACACAGAATCAAAATTAGAAGAATTCAAAGCGCAATTACCACAAGACGAAGTAAGGCTACTGTTATATGAACATTTTCCAGTTCTTATGTGGACATTGATTGTATTTATTTAGTTCTCATATTTATATATTTATAACTTCATTTAATGTTTGCAGTGTGATAAGTTGAGGGAATTGGTTGCAAAAATGCGAGAAACACTGGCTAAGAAAGACGACATGGAACCAGAAGAAATTAAGAGACAGACAAACGAACTTCAACAAGCAAGTCTCAAGTTGTTCGAAATGGCATATAAGAAGGTATGCACTATATTTTGCTGTTCGTCTGAAACATGAATTTAATATTTCTCGTCAAATGTTATTTATAGATGGCGGCAGAACGGGAGGGACAAAGCCAAAGTCAAAGCCAGAGCCAGAGCCAAGAAGATGGACCTGAAAAGAAAGAGGAGAAAAATTAATTATATTTATACAGTATATGTTTAAACAAAACAAAATTAATTGCACACAGCTGTAGGACTACGAATCAGTAATCCTGCGCGCTCAAATAAAGCGCATCGTCATGTATCGTATACAACAAAATTGTAACAAAACAACGATACATTTGTAGAATCTTTATTTTTGAGCATGCGTGATCAGGTGTAGTCAACGTTAATTTAAATTTGAATCGTGAAATTTAAGATTTGTTCATAACTTAGAATGCTTTATAATTGTATAAAGCGTATTTAAAAACGTGCGTAAAGAATAGTTCAAGTAAAAACCTTTTGTTTCTTTCTGTATTAATGAATAATTTAGAAATGTTGAATATATAAATGAGAAACTTCGCACAGAAGTGTTCTACATGATATATATTACCCACTTAATCGAACTTTCGTAAAAGCAGATCTAATTGTAAATTCTGTATATAACCGACTTATATTGTGGCATTTTCTGCTAACAGCTTTTGTATCATTATATGCAAGAAGTGTTAAGGACATGACGATTTTAAACATTTGGCATTACAAAAACCGACGGAAATTGGTAGCTCAATATTTAATACTATAATTATGAAATTTTGTAACTACAGAACTTTTTGTTAATTCATTCGGTGTGCGTGTGGAAGGATATTAGAAGTACGAGAGAATGTGATGAATGTTCAATGCAAAACAAATTATTCCTTAAACAAATATGCGACATGTAGATTATTTTAGGATATATTGTATTATGATATAACCATGTTATTAAAATTTTTTATTCGAATTAATAAGCTCTATAGTATAATTTCAATGTTTTCATTGTGTTATCTAATAAATTCATTTAAATGTATATAAGATGTATATAAAAATTAATCCATTATTTCAATTGTTATAATCACAAACCTATCCTGCAATATAAATTTCTGTTATGAAATCTATGGGTTAATGTGGTTCGGGAAAATTCGCCGCCTAGGTTTAAGGGGTGAAAAAATTTTACTCTGCGCTGAAATACACTCCTGGAAATTAACGGACAATTTTGAATTTTGACCCCATGCGCAGTAGCAAACCGTTACAAGTAGTGCTGTTTATGGACTAAAAAATTGGCGTCGAAAAAATGAGGGTCCAACACGCATATAAGAAAAATAAAAAAATTCGAATATTTCGGCATTTACGCGACGTAGTATGGTTCCCGAGGCATTTAGAAACAAATTTCTATTAGGGTTTGATGCGTTTCGATGCCTAATAAAGCCAAAAAATCAATTTTTGGAAATTAGGCAAGTTTACGTATTTCTGAGGGTCAGAAATTGTTCTGCGACCTCTCTAGAATCTATATAATGCCACAAGAACCCCCTAAAAGCGCTAGAAAAGAAAATAGAAAAATAGGTCTAAACGTGGACTAAAAAATTGGCGTCCATCTAGCGGTGAAAGTTGGAACTACAAAAATATAAAAATGCGATTTTCACGAAAATTAGCGAACTTTGAGTACTTCTGTGGCCCAGAAAGTGTTATGTGATCGCATTAAAAGCAAAATAATGCAATAAAAGCTTTCTAAAGGCTTTAATAAAGAAAATAAAAAAATGTCATTTTATGGACAAAAGTAGTGGCGCCATCTAGCGGCGAAGCTGCGAACTAAACTGAAAAAACGTATGCCCGTACACGCAGTAAAGGGGTCAAATAAAAATTGATTTTTTGGGCTTAATAGGCAAAATGATGAATAACATTTGCGAAACAAACAATTTGCGAAATATTACTTTTTATATTTTCCAACAAAAAATTCTTAATATTAAAAAATAGAATTGAAGTAGATGTTTATTTTAAATTTACTGTTTCACTTGTTACTTCCGGTGAAGGATAATAAATACAATTTTTACAATGCTTTGAACAACTTTATTGCTTTTGAATTATATTGAACATCTCCGTATTCATTAATAAATTGTAATACATGTACTTATTTTCATTAAAACTGAATTTGTCAGAAAATACAAATACATTATGTCCGAAATATCTGCATCTTTATATTGCATGTTTTATATAATTGTCTATCCAAGACAATTTTGTGCTGGAGTTGGAGTAGTTCCTTCAACTGCGGGGGTTGTTGTATTTATTAGTCCTGGTGGTGGAGGGGTTGGTGTAGTTGATGGTTTTGCTGGAGGAGGGGTTGTAGTTGATGGTCGTGGTGGATGGGTTGGTTTGTGGCCCGATGCTACGCAATTTGCTTGCTCTGGCAAATCACATACTCTTAATTCAGCGTTGAATTCCTGTCCAGGGGGGCAGTTCATCAGATACGGTATGCCTTCGTTACAGATGTAGAAAGTTTTGCAGTCCTCTGGATTCGGAAGTATAGTAACGTCCACACCATTGACTGGAGGGCAGCTGATCTCAGCACCATAAGCAGCCACACAGAGTGCCGCAAGCACTACTGCGAATATCGCTGAAAATTGTAAACACATTACTTTTCAACTCCTTAATTAAACAACTGAATTGACATAAGACAGTATTTATATTATAAAATATTTTCAAAAAAGGTCTGATAAAAAATGGCTAAGTCCATAATTGGACTATCTTCCAAAATCCACTGGCAAAGTTAAGATGAATACAAAATTTAATGAAAACCTTTTCGATTAATGAGATTTATAGTTGATGTGAATTGAAACCTAATGAAAATAAAATCAAATGCCCTAACTAGAAGGAAGAAATTATTTTCTATCATGATTTGTGTACCAATGTTACATTATAAAAATTTCTGAGTTTACCTTTCATGTTGACTTCGTAATTGATTCTTTCGGTTATAGGGAAAGACTATAACTGTACAAATGCAGTTAGAAACTTCCTTTATATACTAGTTGCACTTTTTTCTCGCATATCAGTTCGTGATTGTTCAGATGTTGCACAATCAATTAAAATATAACGATATCTTGATAAACATCGGAATGATACTATTGACGTTGATTTTCCACTTCTGTTTTTTATAGAGGTTCGAAGTTATTATTAGTCAGCATCTCTTCTTAAGTTACTTATTCGACTTTATTGATAGTAACAAACTTTAAATGTTAATTTTATTTTGCATTAAAAAATAGTAATTTTGTGCAATGACAATATTTAAATAAGAATCGTTTCAAGAAAATTAGGATAGGAAATTTGTAGACTTCAAAAAATATCTGTTCATCTGGAAAACATTCACAGTGTAAAGTTGCTGTCGACTTAGAAAAAATTGTGGACTAAAAATATTAAATCTGTCGTTCTTTACGTTACAAAATTAAAATTACACCAAGTTATAATTATTGATCGAAAGAAATTATACGTTCATTATTTATCTTTTTGTTAATATTATTTTCAGTATTTTGAAATGATTACTACAATTTTTACTAAAAAGCAAATAAAAATAAACTATATAATAAAGCTTTCATCTTCTAAAAACTTCTTTTTACAAATACGTTACTATTTTGTTATAAATAAAACTTTAAAGCAACATTTAAAATGTCCATATGAGAATATGGGAAAAAAATCTGCTTATGTCAAAAGATATATTAAACAAACAAACTACAACACAGTATATAATTTTATATAGCAATATAATAAAAAGTGATAAAGGAGTGATTGCTTTAGATATAATCTATTGAATGACTGAGATTGATAACTTATAGATTCGTTTTAAAAGTTTTAATTATCGTTATCTGCAAGATGGTTTCATTATTTCAAAAATTGTATTGCAGTTACATCATTTCAGAGATCGGTAAGTGCATTATCGGAGAACGGTAACATTTTAAAGAAGTACTGATTGCAGTTTGCTAAACAGTACTGCTTTTCCGATAATTGTACTGTATTTTTTACATTAATTTTATGCTGTATTTACATCAGTAATTCGATATAATATTTGCTAATATTTTGAAGCTAACATTTGGTCAGATTCCCATTTTCAAAACATTTAGAAAATCTCACTCTTACAAGTATTTTAACATTTATATTTCTATACGCGTTGACAGAAAACTGCCACTAGTAACTAGCCAGAAAGTGAAGAATTTTCAAAACAAAAAATTGCACTACCCTGTATTATCATCAGTGTGTTTGTTTCGTAAATTCTTCTGTTCTATTTAGATGGCACTGCCTATTGACGCAGTCGCAGTCATCTTCTCTGCAAAACTGTTTACAGTGTTTGATTCAAATTGTTAAAAATGGGAGTCAAAGATCTGTGGAATATTTTGTCACCTTTGTGCGAGAGGAAACCAATGTTTGAGCTTCAAGGGAAAACAGTAGCAATCGACATAAGTGGTTGGGTCGTAGACAGTCAAACGGTGACTGATAATCATGCTCAGCCAAAGATGTACCTCAGGTTTGTTTACCAGTGACACTTTGTACATTTGAAGTAGACTAGAGTTGGATAGAAGTGAAAAATTATTACAGGAACTTGTACTTTCGTACAGCATTTCTCCTTATGCACGAGATACAACCAGTATTTGTGTTAGAAGGGAAAGCACCGGATTTGAAACATAATGCTATCGCGAAAAGGAATAATATTCGTAATGGATTTCGAGAAAGGAAAACTGCTGGTAAAGGAAGAAGACCGCAGCTTAATAGAATTCTTAAAGAATGCAAAGAACTACTTGGCTATATGGGTTTAGCATGTATACAGGGTCAAGGTGAAGCGGAAGCAATGTGTGCTCATTTAAATGAAGATGGGGTATGCTACATCCACATATGTACAATAAAGAATTCATTTCAGTTTTTACTTTGGTAAATGTTTTTCTAGCTTGTCCATGGATGTATTAGTCAAGATAGCGATTGTTTCCTTTATGGAGCAAAAGTAGTTTACAGAAATTTTTGTACAAGTGCTCAGGGAAATCGTGGAGGTACAGGTGGTGCTGTGGATGAGTACAGCATAGAGAAAATAGAAAAGGCACTAGACTTAGGAAGGAATAAAATGATAGCTTTAGCTTTATTATGTGGGTGTGACTATGATGAGGGATTAAACGGAGTTGGCAAAGAGGCTGCTATGAAACTTTTTAAAATTGTGAAAGATGAAGATATTATTGAACGGTATAACACAACTCCACAAAATTTTATTACATGTTTTATAGAAAGTTAATATGTGTATATATTACTGGTTTCTGTAGCCTAAAAAGTTGGAGAACAGATGACACTTTAGATCATAAAGAATCACAGTTATTGTCTTCAAATGTTTGTTCATCTTGCGGCCATAGCGGTAAAGTGCAAAAGCATACAAAATCAGGTTGTATAGACTGTGGTACTGTGGTGAAGTGCAATAATTCATACAAGTAAATTTCTGTTCAATAGTAATATTATGGCTTTATAAAATATAATAACTATGATATTTATTTTCTAGGGAAGAAAGGGCATTAATACTGAATGAAATTTCATTACGAAAAAAAGCACTACTTGTTCCAGACTTTCCTAAACAAGAATTGATAGACGAATTTCTTATTAGAAAAGATTCAGTGCCTACAAAACTCGATATCCAATGGAAGCAGCCACAAGTTGATAAGTTCATTGTAAGTTTTAATATAAATTTAAAACTATCATTCTAATGATTAAATATGAATCTATTTGAATTAGGACTTTGTGGAACGACATTTGTCTTGGGAACCGCAGTACGCGTTTGAAAAGATATTTCCCTTAGCGACACGTTGGCAACTTTTACATCTTCCAAATATTTCTATCGAAAGTCGGTTTATACCTGATTTATTTATACCTGAACAAATAAAAAAGATTCGAAATATTAGGTCAGTAGCATGTTATGAAATAATATGGAAAACTGATCACGATGTGATAAGCAGATTAAAAGAATACATAGCAATGAGTAAAGAAAACGATGAAGAAAATAGTGAAGAAATTCTGTCCGAATTAACAAGCATTGAACCGCAAAACGCTGTGAAAGAATGTTATTCAGACTTAGTCGAAGTATTTGAAAACGCAAGAAATGCAAAAAAGAAGAAACGAACAGTTAAGAGTAAAGTACAAAATGATGCCGATCCTGAAGGAGTTAAAAGTAAACCAGTAAAAAGACGCCAGAAGAAAGCTGGAAAAGTACCTGTAGCTGTAGAAGGCAATAGAAAGATCGACGAATTCATAAGTAAAGATCGCTGTTTATCATTGGAAGAATCATTCGACAGATTAAGTATTACACCCAAAAGATCTAAGCCTTTAGTCGAACAACAAGAAAATAGAGGAGAAAATATTAAACTAAGACGAGGTCCTCAATTCGATAAAGTATTGCAGTTAGAGAAAGTAAATTCCAAATTAAATAATACATTAGACAGAATGTTCAACGAACTCTCGCCTGATGACTTTGTTAGCGATAATGAAGATTTTGATTTAGACATGTCAGAAATAATAGACAATATATGCAAAGAAAGAGCTTTCCAATTTGATGTAGATGTACAGATAAGTAAAGATGAAAGTAATTTGAGTAAAAAATCTCTAAATTTTGGTACAAGTAGTATAAGAGATTTTGAAATAAAGCCTGGTGAATGTAGTACAGTTGCTGATGAATCTATTAACGAATTTGCTGACATAGATCAATCTTATATTCCGCTTCATCAAAGAATAGGAGCTTTTAGCGGAAATATTGGACTTCGAAGTATTACTACAAAAAAGAATGATAGGTTCACTCTAGGAATTGATGATCTTTTAAACGATACCGATGAACCTGTTACTTAGTATTTAGGTTTTCGGTAGTATACGACTTTTGAGTGACCTCTCCAAAATATGAGGTTGGTAGTATACTTAACCTAGAAGATACCGAATTGGTTCATCTTCTTTCAAATAACGTTTTTAGTGCGAAGTGTCTTGCAGTTTTTGGAATACAGACAAATGAACTTGTATTTATATTGAATTAGAAATTCTGTTAATATTTGTGAAGTATTTTCGCAATCATCGAATTTAAGTTGGGTTAAGTATACTACCACCCTTATAATCCAAAAAACCACAAAAATTCTGTTCGGCGCAATTTTTCTCTAAAATTATGAAGAGGAAGCTAATAGACTATTTACAATAAAAGCAATAGATCTCAATTGACTAAATATCATTTATTTAATTCATATCTTATAGAAATTAAGTCACATAACATATTCATTTTATAACGTAAACTAAGAAATCTTTTACAATAGAAACTTTACTGTATATTACTTGAAGGAAGGTGAGCTAAATAAACAAATAATATAAACGCTTTATAATATAGTTTTATTTAAATATAGTTATAGTTTTATTTTAAAAATATAGTTTTAGTTTCAACGATTTATAATGATAGTCATACTTTCAACATTAATGGTTTGCTCTTCTCTTATTTATATTTCAATGACCTCCGTTTCCACACTACTTGTTGCCGTTGTTATTGATGTTGCTCTGTTTTCTTTGTCCTCAGTCTTTTTTGTTGTTAATCTGTAATGAGAATAGTAGTTAGGCTATAACAAATAAGTAGAATAACACTACATTATGTATTTATTTTATTGGTACCGGTAGTCGTCGCGATGCCAGCTAAGACGATTGCGAAGGCGATTGCAGTTGCAAAGGTTGCTTTTGCGAAGATGGTTGCTTTTGCGAAGATGGTTGCTTTTGCGAAGGTGGTTGCTTTTGCGAAGGTGGTTGCTTTTCGAATGTGATTGCTTTTGCGAATGTGATGTTGCGAAGGTGGTTGCTGCTGCGAAGGTGGTTGCTGCTGTGAAGATGATTGCTGTTGTGAAGATGACATCAGTGTTTCAAGATGAACCTCCAAAAATCGAGTCACAATTAATTAACTGTGTTTGCAATAATCGATTGCTTATGACAAATATTATAGCTGTAATTATCATTTAATCCAGATAATACGATGAATAAACAGTTGTAATTGTTTCGTTACAAGATATTGAAACAGACATTCCTTTCGAGAGATAACAGTGAACGATACGTATTTCGTTTCACGATATTGAATTTTAACTTTCATGCACTAATTAATAAAATTCAATGTTTTGACGGAAGATAATTCTCTACTTTAAGAATTTCTTGTTCTTTCACTAGAAATGAGGATCCTATAAAGTACAAATAAAATGATATATACTCTTCGACCATTATAAAAATTTAAATATGTTTAAACAATATTGAAAATTATCGAATCGAATTTACATGATTGAAGTATGTAAAATTGTTAATTTTAGAAACTATTTCTATCTTTAAAATTGAATTTCTGTAAAAGTGGAGTGATGAGAAATGGTTTGCAGACTTAACAGTGTCTGAAAATTCACTTATTGTTATTCCTTCTTTTTCTTATTTATGACTTTTTATTTATTCATGTCACCTAATTTTGTTCGGTTGACAAGGTGTTTCGAAAAAGTAGAATTTAACACTACAACTACTAAAAAGGTCAAATGATTTCACAAGTTTTTCATTTTAACTTACAAAATTTTTTAAGACAATTTCTTTAGAATCTCTGCTAATCTTCATGAAAGCAAAGAATTAATATGTATATTAATTTATGTTTTATAACTTGCTTATTTATTTCTCAACTTCATTTTTAGTTTCAGAGTAAGTCTGTTGCACACCGGTAGGTTTAGTTAATAAATATTATAAGAGGCATCTGTGAATCATTTAAACGAAATGGCATAAAAGTGAGTTGTAAATGTGACGAATACAACTGCAATCTTAAATTTCTTGTAAATTATGAAATTCGTGAGTACGTGACACTGATTCATGAAATTTCTGTTCGAAGTACCGTCAAATAAAATAACTCAGTATTGCAAAACTCTTGTTGAAATATTTAAGCTATTAATTGTCTTTTAACGAAATTTGGTATCATCCGGCAAAATGATAAGGATTATAAAAAAATGTAATACTGCTATTATTCGGCGATAATAAATTTCTTGGTTTATCGGGTATATATATCGTACAGGTAAAACATTCCTGAGCAATCGCGCTTACGTTAGACAGTCAAAGCTTGCTATAAAGTTATTTTTGGTGAACAAAAGATGAAAGGTAAAATAATAGTTACTTTTAGTTGATAATAAACCGTGCATTGTAGAATTGACAAAACAACTAATGTCGAGCAAGAAATTAAGTTAAAACTGGTGTTAACTCAGAGTGGCCGTTGTGTAAAATGTGTTTCAATTCTCAAAGCTGTTTTCGAACGTTCTCCGATATATTTATACAAATTATTTGTGTCTTTTCAATGTGCTAACGAGGAACGAGCAAAGTGTAGAGTGTCCACAGAAATCATTTTTATATCGTTTAAAATTTCTTTAAAATTGTACGAAGCGATACAATTTCTTGTGTAAAAATTATGGTCATCGGTGTGTGCAGTGAACAAGTACTAGAGTTCGGGTTTCTGCTTTTACATTTTCGTGGTTTTGCTAGTTTTTTAATTTTCATGTTTTCTAATTTTCTATATTTTTAATTTCGAACTTTCGTAACTTACAGGTTTATAAATTTACAAATATAGGATTATTAGATTTCTAAGCTATAAGTTAAATAATTTAAAAGTGTGGAAATTTTGTAGTTAAAATTAAAAATTCAAGACAATTTTATAATTTCCATAAATTGGAAATTCATTAATGTAGCTACATTTACACGTACAAATTTGCAAATTCGAAAATTTTTAAATTAAAAAATTGTGAAATTTGAATACTTGAAAGTACAGAAATTTCAGTGTAGACGTCTTTCAAATTTCATCATACAAAAAAGTTATTAATATCGAATTATCTCTTCTTCGAAATCATTTAATTACAATTCGAAACATTATCTCTATCGGATGACTAAGCAGATATTCGATAGGATGTGTACAAATAAGACACTCTTATAAACAATATTAAACAGATTAATGAAACTCGCCCTGAATTGAGAGGGTTTAAAACTAATTGTCAAAGTTGCAGCAAAAGATTTGAACATTTCAATTTTTAAAATAAATAAACTCTAAGATTTACTTTGGTAGTTTAAAAATTTAGAAATGAGATATGAGAGTACTAAAATAAACTTGTGAATTAAATTTTTAAAATCGTTTCGTTTAAAACTAATTGTAAATTTATTCAAATATTCCCTTTTTCGTGCAAAGATATTTTGATGGCATACTATCGAAATCGTTCAGAATGAGAATGATCGATAACAAGAGTTTAGATGTCAATTCTGGTGGTGTTTTTTGACCTCTCACGAAAAATCCCGACTTCCCGTTCATACGGATTACACCACTCGCATGATCGAAAGACTTTCACCCTGATAGGTCACACACACTCAAATTACTTCTTTCAAGATTACTTACTAGTCACCGAAAAATCACTTAACATCGAGATCAGTGGTGCCGCAAAATGCGACCTAGTCATTTTCAGAACCACATAAAAAACGACTATTCTTAAATCTCTGCATCGACACTGCATGCTCATTTTGATAGCCAGTGTGTGGTTTTGTCAAAAATAGATCTAATTTCCTTCATTTACAAATGTGAAATAATTGGAAATGTTTATATTTTACAGGTCTGTTACTTGTCCTTCTTGCGGCCATTACGGTCTGCATATCAGCAGGAGAATTATCAGTAATATGTCCAGAACCCTTATATGGCGATGTTGCAGCCGCTGCACATCCCTGCGACTGTAAAACTTTTTACGAATGCTATAAAGATGGAACAAAGGTTGTCAGATCGTGTCCACCGTTATATTACTTTAATGAGAAAAAACAAATTTGTGATTGGCCGCAGGAGGCGGCATGCAAAATTTATCAATCTTGTATTGACTGGTCTACATGTAAACCTAATCCTGTTGTTAATGCCTAAACAATTTTAATCTGTGTAATTTCACAGGCAATATATTTAATTAAATACCCAGGGTTAGTTTTTTTTAAATAGGTTTAGTAAGACATGTTATGTAACTGCAGACACATTTTACTTGACAAGACTTCTCACGTAAAAAATGAAGCAAATAAATAAATTAACACCTATTTAAATGTATAACCTTTGTATATTTTTTTCTGTTCCTTTGTCTTTCTTCTGAAGTTCATTTTCCTTTCTCTTTCAAATACTCTCCATTTTCAAATTATAATAGCTTCTCATGTATTTATATATAAGTTATTATTTATTATTATATCATAAATTATTATTATATGTATTTATTATTTTTATTATTACATTTTATTTTTATGTCACCTAATTTTATTTGATATGACAAGACGTTTTCAAAAAGGAATTTCACGAATATTATGAGTCCATCACGTAGCAAAGTAGCACAAAAGATAGTTGCAATATAACAAATTCGATATAATCAAAATTTATTTCTTATCAATTACTAAATTCGCCGGTATGTATAAATAGTGTAAGATATCTGTTTACGAGGCTTTTAAAGTACTTCCGTATTATAATTGATCAATGGTTCCAAACTAATACTGAAACTTTAAAGTTTACTCCACCACCATTCAGTTGTATTTCTATATTAGTGATTTTTACTATCATAACGCAAAATGATAAGAAATGTTCTGCTAATATTCGTTGATAACGAGTGATATCCACTTGAACGCCGACCGATTGGACGCGTTCTAATTCAAAGCAGAGCATATCGGACCTAACCTAACCTAACCTAACAGCTTCGAATTTGAACATCGAATCGGGACGCATCCAATTGGTCGACGTCCAAGTGGGACCCCCCTGTTGATAACGCTAGTCAGTTGGCTTATCGGGTATAATATATATCGCAAATTTAAATCACAGCAGAAGAATCGTGATTAAGGTAGACAAACCCTGTAAAAAGTTAGGCCTGTCATAAATTCATTTTCAGCAAACGGAAAATGAGAGGTAAAGTGTTTTGTAGTGGAGCATAGATGATACATTAGATTTATAACAGTCTTAGGAAAAAGGAACTGAATAACTTCGGCTATTGTGTAAAATGTGTATTATTTTTTAAAATTGTTTCTGAATGTTGTTCAGTTTATTTGTACAAATTACTTGTGATTTTTTACTGTGTCTCATAATGAGGAACGAGTAATAAATGGTCTATAGAAATTATTTGTATGCTATTTAAAATAGAATACAATTTTTTTGGATATAGAAAGTGCTTTTAAGAAGTTTGTGCACATTGCTGTGTTCTGTGATCAAGTGTTAAAGATCTAGGAAAATTTCGAATATCTTTGTAATTTTGTAATTTTGTAATTTAGTAATTTAGTAATTTAGTAATTTAGTAATTTAGTAATTTAGTAATTTGGTAATTTGGTAATTTGGTAATTTGGTAATTTGGTAATTTGGTAATTTGGTAATTTGGTAATTTGGTAATTTGGTAATTTGGTAATTTGGTAATTTGGTAATTTGGTAATTTGGTAATTTGGTAATTTGGTAATTTGGTAATTTGGTAATTTGGTAATTTGGTAATTTGGTAATTTGGTAATTTGGTAATTTGGTAATTTGGTAATTTGGTAATTTGGTAATTTGGTAATTTGGTAATTTGGTAATTTGGTAATTTGGTAATTTGGTAATTTGGTAATTTGGTAATTTGGTAATTTGGTAATTTGGTAATTTGGTAATTTGGTAATTTGGTAATTTGGTAATTTGGTAATTTGGTAATTTGGTAATTTGGTAATTTGGTAATTTGGTAATTTGGTAATTTGGTAATTTGGTAATTTGGTAATTTGGTAATTTGGTAATTTGGTAATTTGGTAATTTGGTAATTTGGTAATTTGGTAATTTGGTAATTTGGTAATTTGGTAATTTGGTAATTTGGTAATTTGGTAATTTGGTAATTTGGTAATTTGGTAATTTGGTAATTTGGTAATTTGGTAATTTGGTAATTTGGTAATTTGGTAATTTGGTAATTTGGTAATTTGGTAATTTGGTAATTTGGTAATTTGGTAATTTGGTAATTTGGTAATTTGGTAATTTGGTAATTTGGTAATTTGGTAATTTGGTAATTTGGTAATTTGGTAATTTGGTAATTTGGTAATTTGGTAATTTGGTAATTTGGTAATTTGGTAATTTGGTAATTTGGTAATTTGGTAATTTGGTAATTTGGTAATTTGGTAATTTGGTAATTTGGTAATTTGGTAATTTGGTAATTTGGTAATTTGGTAATTTGGTAATTTGGTAATTTGGTAATTTGGTAATTTGGTAATTTGGTAATTTGGTAATTTGGTAATTTGGTAATTTGGTAATTTGGTAATTTGGTAATTTGGTAATTTGGTAATTTGGTAATTTGGTAATTTGGTAATTTGGTAATTTGGTAATTTGGTAATTTGGTAATTTGGTAATTTGGTAATTTGGTAATTTGGTAATTTGGTAATTTGGTAATTTGGTAATTTGGTAATTTGGTAATTTGGTAATTTGGTAATTTGGTAATTTGGTAATTTGGTAATTTGGTAATTTGGTAATTTGGTAATTTGGTAATTTGGTAATTTGGTAATTTGGTAATTTGGTAATTTGGTAATTTGGTAATTTGGTAATTTGGTAATTTGGTAATTTGGTAATTTGGTAATTTGGTAATTTGGTAATTTGGTAATTTGGTAATTTGGTAATTTGGTAATTTGGTAATTTGGTAATTTGGTAATTTGGTAATTTGGTAATTTGGTAATTTGGTAATTTGGTAATTTGGTAATTTGGTAATTTGGTAATTTGGTAATTTGGTAATTTGGTAATTTGGTAATTTGGTAATTTGGTAATTTGGTAATTTGGTAATTTGGTAATTTGGTAATTTGGTAATTTGGTAATTTGGTAATTTGGTAATTTGGTAATTTGGTAATTTGGTAATTTGGTAATTTGGTAATTTGGTAATTTGGTAATTTGGTAATTTGGTAATTTGGTAATTTGGTAATTTGGTAATTTGGTAATTTGGTAATTTGGTAATTTGGTAATTTGGTAATTTGGTAATTTGGTAATTTGGTAATTTGGTAATTTGGTAATTTGGTAATTTGGTAATTTGGTAATTTGGTAATTTGGTAATTTGGTAATTTGGTAATTTGGTAATTTGGTAATTTGGTAATTTGGTAATTTGGTAATTTGGTAATTTGGTAATTTGGTAATTTGGTAATTTGGTAATTTGGTAATTTGGTAATTTGGTAATTTAGTAATTTGGTAATTTGGTAATTTGGTAATTTGGTGATCTGGTAATTTGGTAATTTGGTAATTTAGTAATTACCTAACATTCTAATTTAGGTGTTTCATAATTTGGAAATTAATAAATAATTGAATATCTGAATTTACAAACTAATTGAACAATTTAAATGTGTAAAAATTCGGTAATTTCAGAAGTGATCAAATATGAGCGAGTTAAAATAAATTTGAAAATTTTTATATTTGATAATTAGTTAATTTACAGATTTATAAATTTCTCCCTTTATTAGTTTAATAATTTGATAATTAATACATGTAGAAAAAATTCATAGTCTTTATTTGTGGATGCGTCCTAGAATAACTAAATCTCTTTACATTTTACAGGACTAATACTTTTTGTTATCGCGGCTATTGTGGTCAGCGTCTCTTCAGAATTAGCAGTAGTATGTCCAGAACCCGTATATGGAGACGTTTCATTTGCTCCTCATCCATGCAACTGTAGCGTTTATTACGAATGTAGAGATGGCAAAAAAGATGTGAAGGTTTGCTCATCGCCATTAGAGTTCAACGTGGAAGAACAAATCTGCGATTGGCCACAAAAAGTGAACTGCAAAGTTGCAACAGAATGTCTCAACTCGTGCCAATGTATCTTTTCTTATTAGATGTAAACAATATTCTTTATATAATGGATAATGTAAAAACCAAAAGATGTCCTTCTTCGATATCGTTTTCAAATGTAATATTAAATAAATAATTAGTACTATATTTTGATATTATTTTGATTTTGTACAACATTTTTAACATTACCATTTTTTATTTCTTATTCCTCTTCTCGTCTTTCAAGTTCATTTTTCTTTGTGCTTCAAATACAGTTTGTTCTAAATCTCTTTGCATGCGAATTCTTTTCGTTGATCACTTTCGAAGATCTCCATTTGTGTTGTTAATCCATTTAGAACTGGGTAATGATATATCAAGCTTGGATATATTTTATTTTAATATAATAATTGCTCGAAATAATCCATAATTATTCAGTATTCACTATACACTAAATTCAGTTTATTTGAATGTACTAAAAAACATTTGGAATAATGTGAAAGACGTTTCAGATAAAAATTGTATAACCTGACGTACTTGTACAGCAGTACGATGCCATTTTCTATTTTACCTTATGAAGATAAAACTAAAATAAAACTCGTGAACATCTTAAGACTTTAAATGGAATGTTAACAAAGTGTCTATAGCTTGTTAAAGACTGCAAAAAAATGTATACGTTAAACGATTGATGGCAAGCACGTGTTTACTGATCCGCACGAGACTTGGTAAACAAAAGGTCCTCCATTGACCCGTATTTCGAGGCACAGGCCATTCATGGTGCTTTACGCGTCGAACCACTTGAACCCCTAATAAAGTCCTCTAGTTCCAACAAAAGTTCAAACGCAAATGATGTATGATTATACATTGTTGAACTGCATTAATTAAATTTAATAAATAATTTAATTTATAAATTTCTAAATCTACAGACTGAAATACGAAAATATCAAGTTTTCATATTTTATGAATTTTTATACAGTTTCACTCTTTGTATAATTCTACTGCATTTGTATTGTTGTAAATGTAACTAAATTTAATAAATAAATATATAATTTAGTTTATAAATTTCGGTCAACCACAAACTTATTCTTCAAATTTCAGTTTTCATATCTTACATCATATCTGTAACATTAATATCATGCAAAGTCCTTTTCCCTTATATTCATCCTATCTCATGTGTAATTCAATTAAATAATAGATGTAGTAAATTATTAAGTAACCTATGTAATATATGTAAATATAAGTAATATATGTATTATACAGGGTGGTTCACCTTTCCTGTAAATAGACATTAAAATTAACATATCTCCTAAACCAATGATTTTTTCACACAAATAGATTAATACTTTTTTGTAAAGAATATGAAGGAGTATCAGCTGATGCAATAAAACATGTATGATTCCATTAAAAAAAACATTAATGACCTTCATATGTCCTTTACACGTCCACCTACAAAAAAAATGTACCACCAGCATATGCCCCTCTCGAAACCATTCAGCTTCATCTGAAACATTGTTTGCTATGAGTAATAATGACGCGAATCTAGATGGCAAAACGTGGTGAGCCACCCTGTATACTTGCATTGATAGTATGTTGTTTCATTGCATATATGTATAGCGTGTTATTTTGTTGTATGCGTAAATCTATGCCGTCACGCGTGTGACACATTCTTTAATATCTTTTCACGTGGAAATAACACGCAATTTAAAATCTGATGTAATGGTACTCGGTATAGATAAGTTCAATAATAAACGGAAGTGCCATTATCTTTACAGATTTAATATTGTTAAAAAGCATAGTGCTAAGGCTTGTCAGATTTAATCTACTACATTATGTATTTTATTATCTTTTGACCTGCGTTTTATGATCAGCGTTTCAGCCTCTCACATGTAAACATTATAAAACTTGACTCACATTTTTCTATAGATTCTGTATTTCTGGATATAAAATTTTCTGAAATCGTTGACAAGAATGTTAGAAAATAGAAATCGACCGATCGATGCAGGCCATGAGCCTTTCAACTTTGCATACAACTAATGATTAGTAAAAATGTAATTATAGGATGGGGTCCATAGAAAATACGTTTAAGAGGGATTTCTCGGACTACAGGAATTAAAAAACCCTGCATCAGCTGGTAGAGTGTAATCCTTTTGTTTCTGGCAGATATGGAGCCTGAATTATATTACTTGGAACACTTATTATTGGAATACTTCTTTTTATTACTTCGTTTCGGGGTGCAATTATGTGGTCATATTCATTTACAAGCTTCAGGTGTAGTGTCAAGAGTTTACGATCAAATTACTTTGAGAAGTGGAGTTCAGATATTTTTTAATTTAAAAGTATTCAGGAATTTAATAATTTACGAAGTTAGAGATTTGCAAATATTTTTGGATTTGAAAAATACGGAATTCGGGAGTTTGGAGATTTGAATGTGTGAACATTTGAAATGTCGAAACTTTTGAACCTCTTCAAATTAGAAGATTTGAAGATTTAATTACCTGATAATTTGGCAATATAGAAATTATAATATTTGCAAACTTGCTAATTTAAAAATACTTGTTTACACATTCGAAAATTTGGGAATTCGGAAATTTAGAAATGTAGAAAAATTCGAAAATTTTTATTCTCAAAATTCTTCCAAAACTAACAAAATGTCAATAGTTTTGTTTAATAAAATGAATGATTTCTCTCTTTTCATTTATCCTTAATTGCCAATTAATTTAAATAATATACGTTTCAATTTTCTTCAAAACATTTATCACTGCGAATTGAAACAGAACGTTTCTTGGAAGAGATAAGACTCCACAGTACGTGTTTTGTGTCACGACATCAAATGAGACTTCGGTAGACTTTGATGCACTAATTAGAGAAATTCCATGTTTTAAAGGAAGATAATTCTCTACTTTAAGAATTTCTTGTTATTTCACTAGAAATGAGGATCCTATAAAGTATAAATAAAATGATATATACTCTTCGACCATTGTAAAAATTTAAATACGTTTAAACAATATTGAAAATTACCGAAACTTGGAAAACATGATAGACACTCATTGAAGTGCCTTTCTAAAATGTTAGAATGATAATTTTGCAATTACGCAAACTCATGTACAACAAGTGATGATCAATTATCTCTTGATTATATTCGTGTATGGGCAATGCTTATTATTATAACATAAAGTGATAAGGAAGAGGCGCAAAATAAATTTAATGAGATAATGCTAGTGAATTGGTTTAACAAGTATATATAACCTAGAATTGAAACTCTACCGAGCATTCGTGTGTAATTTAGTCACTCGTAACGTCGATAAGTTTCCAACACGAAATGAAAGGTAACTATAATACATTTCAGTCGATAATTCTATATCGGTAGTTGATCAGAGAATTCATCAGTAACAACCACTGCCTCACGAAAAAGGAACTAAGTATCGATTTAACTGGTGTTAATCGGCAATTGTGCAAAATATGCTTGTTTTTCAAATTATTCATAAAAACTATCTTGTGATTTTCTCTACTGTGTTCAATAAGAAACGGGTAAAGTGCAGTATCCACAAAAAAACTACCATTTAAAATACAATAACTTTTCCAAAGTCGCAGCAAAAGATTTAAACAGTTCACTTTTTAAAATAAAATAATTCTGAGAATCACTTTGGTAGTTTAAAAATTTAGAAATGAGATATGAGAATACTAAAATAAACTTGTGAATTAAATTTTTAAAATCGTTTCATTTAAAACTAATTGTAAATTTATTCAAATATTCCCTTTTTCGTGCAAAGAAATTTTGATGGCATACTATCGAAATCGTTCGGAATGAGAATGATCGATAACAAGAGTTTAGATGTCAATTCTGGTGGTGTTTTTTGACCTCTCACGAAAAATCCCGACTTCCCGTACATACGGATTACACCACTCGCATGATCGAAAGACTTTCACCCTGATAGGCCACACACACTCAAATTACTTCTTTCAAGATTACTTACTAATCACCGAAAAATCACTTAACATCGAGATCAGTGGTGCCGCAAAATGCGACCTAGTCATTTTCAGGACCACATAAAAAACGACTATTCTTAAATCTCTGCATCGACACTGCATGCTCATTTTGATAGCCAGTGTGTGGTTTTGTCAAAAATTCATAGATCTAATTTCCTTCATTTACAGATGTGAAATAATTGGATATGTTTATACTTTACAGGCCTGTTACTTATCGTTTTCGCGGTCATTGTGGCCTACGCATCTGCAGACTGTCCAGAGTTAAGTGTGGTGTGTCCAGTTCCCATATATGGAGATTATGCAAACGCCCCACACCCGTGCAAATGTGACGTTTACTTCGAATGTAGAGATGGTGAAAAATACGTCAAGAAGTGCGAACCACCACTTTTCTTTAACTCGGAGACACAACTCTGCGACTGGCCATCAAGAGTGGCGTGCAAAATTGATCCAAGTTGTTCATTGTCGCAACAAGTTTGTTAAATGGTAGCAATGTAGCATACAACGATAAGATTGTTTTATCTATTTAAATAATTTCTGTGCTCCTCATTTTCATACGTATTTATACGCTAAATAAGAATAAATGTAAAAGTTACATCACACTAATAGAAAATCAATTGATATGAGTTTAAACACTCACTTATCTATAATTTTTAACACGTAGAGATAATTTACGATTTCGTGGTACACGATCTCTGAGATTATCACCGGGAGCCAAATAACTGTCAAACAACTTTATGCGAGCTATTAGCGACATGTGTCATCCAAATAGTGATTTAGACTTCTTAGAACAAGGTCAACTAATTTGATAATCTACACTGGTTTATTGTATCTTCTTTTTCATTCTATTCGTTTGAAGTATTGAAGGGTGGTGACTGTGTAAACTTTTCAAGCCTGTATTCTGCGAAGGACAGATCACTTAATTGATAAAAGGAGCTATTGAAAATTGTCTCAAAAATAAAGATATGTGGAAATCTTATGTACGAAATATATAAACAATTGTTCTAATAATTATGAAATAATTAGTATTATTTTATAAAGAAAAACCATATTTTATTCTGTGAATTTAAGGGTCTTTCTCTAAAGTATAATTACGTACTTTAGATATAAACTATAGTCAGGGAATTTTATAATTTCAGAATTTCGAAGTTTGCGAAGTAGGGAATTTGTGAATTTGCAAATATGGAACTTTGAAAAGGGAATCACTTCGATGATTCGGAAATTTAATGCTCCGTAGATTTTGTTGAAAGTAAGAAAATTCAAATGTTTTTAAATAAATTTTAAAATGTGGATTGAGAAAAAAATTATCTGTTTTTTTTTTAAGATTTAATGAATGTTAAATGAGTTCCAAAAACGTACTCAAAAATACACACATTATTTGTTTTTAAATATTTAGTTATTGGACAATGTAATATCAGTGTTGTTCATAGTTTGTTGTTTCTTCCACTTTCATAATAATTCGATGACGCAAAATTTAAAATGACGATTATCAGTGATCAGCATAGCAAACAGAACGTTAATCGATAATATCGGAAGTATTGTCCAGAAAAGTTGTTTGTAACTTTTTTATTTGCGTCACTGATTATTCTTAATCTATTATATTAATATATTTTAATTATCATTCTAATAAACGAAATTTTCGTAAAAATTCTATTTATGTAGTAGCAGGTGATTGAAAAATATATTGGAATAATCAATTACGATTATCGTTACAAATGTACCATAGCCACAGAATGTAATGATAAGATAACTCAGATTAAATCTCTTGCACGTGTATTTTATTATACGTAGCTATGGAATGACGTTTTATAGTCAAGGTCTTTGCTAAGTATATGTTAATTTCGAAGTTTAATAATGTTCACAAATTCACAAATTTTCATACGCAAAACTTGGACATTTTTGGAAAATTTACAAATTTGTGGATTTCCTTTTTTGTTGGTTTTCAAATTTGAAAATTTGAGAATTTTATAAATCGAAAATCTGAGAATTAAAAATTGTGAAAACACAGAAATACCTACAGATATTTGGAACAATGAGTTTTGAAGAATTTGACAACTGCAAAATGTTAGAAATACCCATCAAAATCTGCAAATGGAGTGTAAAAGCTGATTTGTCTTTACATGTCTAATATATCTCTGAATTAATAATTAATGCAATGTGAAGTATATAAATATCATTAATTTATTCAAATGGAACGAGTCAAATTTCCCTGAAAAGTGAATCACGATGCTGCACCCCTTCCTCCCCATCCACTGATTCATCAGCAACAAACAAAAAGTATTTTTGTGTTTAACGTTAAAGCAAAAATAGTGTAAACACAAATTGCTAATATAACGTCACCGATATCATTGCAATTTCCTGCTTGTTATAAATTACTCTGAGATTTAAAAGCGTGTTCAACACGACAGACATTTTAGGTTGGAAAAGTGTCTGTCCTCACAGTCAAAGGGTCTTAGTACCGTCAGATACGATAACGGTCCACGAATGCTAACCTGTTGTTTGAACATTTAACAGTATCTCCGAATCTATCATCTGAATACTGCTTTTTATCATTAATAATATTTTTAGTAGCATTGAGTGATAAGAAACATGTCGAAATAGAAAATTGAACATAGTGGTGGTCGACAGGTAATCGCAATTAGTCGAATGAGTATATATAAGCAATTGGTCGAATGAGTATATATAAGAGAACCGAAATTCTGCAATACAATCATAATCAGTCTAGGAACTCGAAGCATCAAGGAGCTAAGTGACTCAAAATGAAAGGTGAGTTCGTAATAAAATTGTGCATAACAGAAGTAATAAAAAAATTAATTCTATGTGACAGAAATCGGTGCTCGATCGTACAATTGATATATTTATTATAGGGTTCATATTAAAGAGATTTCTAATCCATTATTTTGTGTTCACTGTAGCTTGGAGAAGGTATTGATTGAGGATTAATTTAGAGATTTGGGAAATGTGGGGATACGAAGATTCGGGAAATGTGGGGATACGAGAAATTTGAGGATTAGGGAATTAGGGAATTTACATATTTGGTGTTTTGAAATGTAACAATTTAAAAATTTGACCATGTGAAAACTTAAGAAATTAGGATTTTTTAATTTTAGAAAATTGAGAATTTCGAGATATCGGAACTTGAAGATTTGAAAATTTTTAATTTTTAAACTTGACATTATGGAAATTTGGTGACTTACAAATTTGGGAACTGAGATCTTGAAAATATGAATATTTGACAAGTACAGATTTGGGAATTACAATACATTCATCCTCTGTACTCGCAGATCTCGTTTGTGCATTCAAAACGTCACCTCCGAGGCGACAATCGAGTGCATAGGATTAAGTTCATATACAAAAATGATTCGATCTGTTGTTTATTATTTTTCAGTACTGCTTTTCATCGCCTTTGCGGCCATTATGGTCTACGTGTATTCTCAAGAAATCGACCCGGAATGCCCAGACTTTAATGACGAAGAGATTGTATACCTCCCAAATCCGTGCAATTGCAGCAGTTACTATGTATGCTCTCTTACTGGAAAAATTGTCATGCCGTGTCCAAAGGGTCTTCACTTCAACCAGGAGAAAAAAGTCTGTGACTGGCCAAAGAGAGCGAAATGCAAAGTTAGTCCCGACTGTCCACCACCAAAACCCCACTTGGAGTACGAAGAGCCCTCCTTTTAAAGTATCTTTTTAAGCGCAGTATAATAATCCTAACACGTTAAACTAATATCTCAAGCGTTATTATGAATACATTTTCGTTTGCTATTTTGAAGATCCTCTTTATCAGTATTATTATTCATCCACCTAATTAGAATTCAATTACATTACTGTACTGTTATGTAGATGTATGTTTGTAAACCGACTGAAATAAATTATATGTTAATCCTTTCATTGTGTAACTTTCTATCTTTCTAATTTTTTAATTCTGTAGTTCTCTAATTTTCTAATTTTCCACCTTTCTAATTTTCTAATTTTCTAATCTTTTAATCGTCTAACTTTTAAAAAAGGAAAACGCAAGAGTAAGCCTTCTTGTAGAAACTTACGATGACTATGTCCTAACGCAATACGCACGTTGCTTTTGCTTTAGTACTATATTTTAGTTTTGCTTAGCCAAAACGCGAAAGTCATAGGTTGACACAACCATCATCACTTCCATCATTCAGAATCACTTCTGCAGAAAGACAGTGCACTTGCTTGGACCAGGTGTCACGAGCTAAAACCACGTGAAAACAGTTAATACCAATCGCTACCGTCAACAAACAATCAATTTGAATCATGCATTGATCGTCCTGATTGGGCCAGAAGACACTGAAAAGTGATTTTGCAACACAACGTCGCATCACAGACAGCGGAAACGGTTAAAAGCACAATTGCTGCACTTGGTTGGGAACTCTTGTCCCACACTCCATACTCACCAGACTTGGTCCTTTCGTACCACTTGTTTTCATCAGTGGTTCACGTACTTTTCCAGGAACACTTCAGCGGTTAAGATGTCGAAAAATATCGATGACTGGTTTCTCTCAGTATGTGAACAATTTTTTGGGGAGGATTTGAAGGGTGGATTGGAAAACGTATAACTAATGATGATGTATATTTTCAATAAAGCGTTTTGTCCTATTTTTGATTTTTCACAGCTACAATTTGCGATAAAAAAATCTGAAAAAATTCTATAATATGCGGCATGTGGACCTCAATATTTCAGAACTTTTTTACGAAATTAAGTAGGCAAAATCAGCCAAAATCTGGAATTTCGTTTTTACTCTTTCACTACCCCCCGGAGATAGAGGGTTGAAATTTGGTGCGAGAGGTTTTTTGTGTATGCTATCTACTGACATATTGGGTTTTTCATTTGAGTCAAGGGCACATTTGACTAGACCCTTTAAATTGTTTCTTAAAAAAAATACGAAATATTAACCGGTACACCTGGTATATTTACAATTATGAATTATAAATTCAAACCGGTTTTTGTCAAAATTAATTTAGGAATCTGGATATATGAAATGCTGGGAAGTTTATACAAAGATGGAATTGCAAATAGCAATAACAAAATTATTTTAACTGTTTAAATTATTTTTGTATTTCTCATCTCTCATACTTTGCAATTTACGTAAATAAAAATGACGAGTACACATAACTTTGTAAAATTTGCATACCATTGATAGACAATCAAATTAATCTTTAATCACTCATTTATCTAAAATTTTCAATATGTGGAGATAATTTACGATTTCGTGGTACACATTCTTTGAGATTATTCTTGGAAGCGGGATAATAGTCAAAGACATTTAAGAGCAATTTTATTTACCTTCAATCACAAGCGACATGTGTTACCTAAATATCAATTTATTAGACTTCTTTATACAAGGTTAACTGATAATCTACACTGGTTTATTGTATCTTCTTTCTCATTCGATTCATTTGAAGTATTAAAGGGCCGTCGCTGTGTAAACTTCTTAAGCCGTTATTACGTGAAGGACAGATTACAAAACTGATAAAAGGAGATATTGAAAATTGTCTGAAAAATAAAGATATGTGGAAATCTAATGTACGAATTATATAAACAATTGTTCTAATAATTATGAAATAATTAGTATTATTTTATAAAGAAAAACCATATTTTATTCTGTGAATTTAGGGATTTTTCTCTCAAGTAAAATTACGTACTTTAGATATAAACTATAGTCAGAGAATTTTATAATTTCAGAATTTCGAAGTTTGCGAAGTAGGGAATTTGTGAATTTGCAAACATGGAACTTTGAAAAGGGAATCACTTCGATGATTCGGAAATTTAATGCTCCGTAGATTTTGTTGAAAGTAAGAAAATTCGAATGTTTTTAAATAAATTTTAAAATGTGGATTGAGAAAAATATTATCTGTTTTTTTTTTAAGATTTAATGAATGTCAAATGAGTTCCAAAAACGTGCTCAAAAATACACACATTATTTGTTTTTAAATATTTAGTTATTAGACAATGTAATATCAGTGTTGTTCACAGTTTGTTGTTTCTTCCATTTTCATAATAATTCGATGACGCAAAATTTAAAATGTCGATTATCAGTGATCAGCATAGCAAACAGAACGTTAATCGATAATATCGGAAGTATTGTCCAGAAAAGTTGTTTGTAACTTTTTTATCTGTGTAACTGATTATTCTTAATGTATCATATTAATATATTTTATTTAACGTTCTAAACAAAATTTTCATCAAAATTGTATTTATGTAGTAGCAGGTGGATGAAAAAGATATCCCAATGATCACTTACTATTATCGTTACAAATCTACCATAGCTACAGAATGTAATGGTGAGATAAATCAGATTAAATTTGATACACGTGTGTTTTATTGTACTTTGTTATTCAATTACGTTTTAGAGCCAGAGTTTTTGATAAATATATATTAATTGCGTAGTTTAAAAATGTAGAAGTTGTAACTTTTATAAATTTGTATATTCAAAGTCTTGCAAAAGGTGTTCGAGACTTTGAATGTTTGGGAGTTTGAGGATTTAGGGATTTTGGAATTTGGGGGTTTAGGGATTTGGGAATCTGGGGATCTGGGGATTTGGGAATTTAGGGATTTGGGGATTTAGGGATTTGGGGATTTGGGGATTTGGGGATTTGGGAATTTGGGGATTTGGGGATTTGGGGATTTGGGGATTTGGGGATTTGGGAATTTGGGAATTTGGGAATTTGGGAATTTGGGAATTTGGGAATTTGGGAATTTGGGAATTTGGGAATTTGGGAATTTGGGAATTTGGGAATTTGGGAATTTGGGAATTTGGGAATTTGGGAATTTGGGAATTTGGGGATTTGGGGATTTGGGAATTTGGGAATTTGGGAATTTGGGGGTTTGGGGGTTTGGAGGTTTGCGAATTAGGGAATTTGGGAATTTGGGAATTTGGAAATTTGGGAATTTGGGAATTTGGGAATTTGGGAATTTGGGAATTTGGGAATTGGAGAATTTGGGAATTTGGGCATTTGGCAATTTGGTAATTTGGTAATTTGGTAATTTGGAAATTTGGGAATTTGGGAATTTGAGAATTTGAGAATTTGGTAATTTGGGAATTTGGGAATTTGGGAATTTGGGAACTCGATAATTTCGGAATTTGAAATTTCATAAATTACCAAAATCGAGAATTTTACAATTTGATAGATTGAAAATTTTATAATCTGATAATCTTGCCATCACAGAATTTTACAATTTGAAATTATTAAAATTTCATTACTTGCAATCAGAAATACTTTTCCCCTAAAAATGAATTATGAAGTCCGTTATCCTCACAATCTCCACTGAATCATCTGAGTCAAACGACAAACAATATTTTTGTGTTCAAACTTAAAGCAAAATGGTGTAAACACAAACTGCAAATACACCAATTTCGATATCACTGCAATTTTCTGTTTGTTACAAATTATCATAAAATTTAAAAAACGTGTTAAACACGACAGACATTTTCAGTAGAAAACGTTTCTTTCTTACCAATCAAGGTGTGCCCTAAATATCGTCAGAGATGATAACAGTTCAAAGATGCCAAACTCTTGTTCGAACATTCGAAGCTAAACCTTAATCTCTTGATCTCGCATCAAAATATGTCTTTTATCATTAATAATGTTTATCGTGACACAGAGTGATAAGAAATACAACGAAATAGTAAATTGATCATAGTGAAGGTCAGGAGATAATTCGAATTAATAATTGGTCGATTGAGTATATATACTGGAGCTGAAATTCTTGGACACAATCGTGATCAATCTTGCAACTTGGAACTACGAGTAGTTTTAGTGAATCAAAATGAAAGGTAAGTTCGTAATAAAATTATATGTAATAATAAAAGTAATTCTCAGTTCGCAATAGAAATTGGTACTCGGTCGTACAATCGATAAATTTATTATCGTAATCAAACTTGATTAAACGAAGTACTTTCTCTACATTCATTATCTTCGGTTCGCTATCGCCTGGAAATAAGTATTAACTCAGGGTTAATTTAGAGATATAGAAATCAGAGATATTAGAAAAGTTCTTGAATTCGGGAATTTACAAGTTTGAAAATTTATCAGTTAAAAGACTCGGCGATCTGGGGGTTTAAGGAATTAGAAATTTCGAGAAGCTGAGAATTTTGAGATATGGGAATCTGAAGATTGGAAAATTTTGTATGTTTTAAACTTGAAATCTTGGGAATTTGGTCATTTAAAAATTGGGGGTGAGATCTTGAAAAGGTGAATATTTGGCAAGTACAGATTTGGGAATTTGAGAATTATGAAGCTCGAAAATTTAAGAATTAGAACCTTGAAAATTTGAGAATTAGAAGCTTGAAAATTTAAGAATTAGAACCTCGAAAAATTAAGAATTAGAAGCTTGAAAATTTAAGAATTATAACCTTGATAATTTAAGAACATCGAAATTAGAAGTTCTCCTAATTTACAGATTGAAAGTTTGCAGGTCAAGTTTTAAGGTCACCTATTGACACGATGACACAATCTTTCGACAAACAAAAAAATTAATATCATTGCGATACATTCATCCTCTGTACTCGCAGATCTCATTTGTGCATTCAAAACGTCACCTCCGAGACGAAAATCAAGTGCAGAAGGTTAAATTCATATACAAAAATGATTCGATCTGTTTAATATTTTTCAGGACTGTTTTTCATCGCCTTTGCGGCCGTTATGGTCTACGTGTATTCTCAAGAGGTCCCCGTAAACTGTCCAGATCCTAAGGACGGAAATGCTACATTAGTCGCACATCCTTGCGACTGCACCAGTTACTTTGTCTGCTTCGCTGATGGAGTCATTCCCATGCCGTGTCCTCCAGGTCTTCATTTCAACAGGACCGTCCATACCTGTGACTGGCCATGGAGAGCAGGCTGCAGAATTGACGAACGGTGTCCCAGATTAGCAGAAAAACTCGAATTGGCCGAAGAACAGGCTTACGTTTAAATCTTCTTATGCACAATATGTTTAGTCTATCGCGTTATATCTCCGTTTCAAGCGTTATTCGTTAATCAAACTCCTGTCTCCTACATGTAAGTCGTTCGATGGAATATATTTTCGTTTACAACTTTGAAGATCCTGTTGATCATGATTGTTATTTATCAATCTACTTATAGTTCGGTAATATTACCGTATTAGTAAGTACATTTGTAAACCAATTGAAATAGACAATATATTCTATCACGACACTTTTCGCTATCAAGTACTTGCTTGATGTTATTAGAATTGTTAAATAGACAAGTTGGAGCAACTGTGCCAGAAAGCGACATAATTCATACCGTGAAAAATTTGTAAAGCATTATGCACTTTAAGTCAACGATACCAGCGTAAATAAAAATTATTCATTTCGAGTATATTATGAAATTCATATTATTATGGAAACCATTAATTCACTATCTATGGTTATTAAGTATAATTGTACTCTTTCAGACAATAAATCAAACAAAAACTTTCAACTTATAAGAGATATGTATAAAATTGTACTTTACATGTATAACTTGTGAAATATAATTTTAAACGTGTTTTAATATTTGTGTATCATTTTTTAAAAGTATTAAAATAATTTTAAGTTAACGAATTGACAAATTAACAAACCAACGAATTTATATTTATGCAAACTTTCAAATTTAGAAATTCTTTTTCCCTGTAGACAAATTTTTTACAAGTTTATAAATTTTCTTGTTTTTAATTCCCATTTTCAATTTTCCTAAGTATTTCATCTTTTCACGATTATGAATTCTCATATCTGTCGATTTTTCAATTTACAAACTTTACCAACTGATACAACGTAAAGACGTGCATGCTACGTGAATACATTCACGATAATTAACTTTAATACCTCGAAACTTTCTTGTATACATGTATACCTTTAAAAAGAGTTCACGATACGGGAAGATTGCAAGTGAATCGATAATTAAACTACCGTGAAATCGGAGGGTCATCCGCCTTTTATGTACTTTTAAACTTGATATATCGATTCGTGGAAGATTGAAAAAAGTACAAGAAAACCTTAGCCTGATCTGACAATAACAAATATAGAAAGAAATAAGGATAAAATTGTGAAAAGCACAAATCTCTGTTCGCGTTGGAATTTTAACCAAATTTTTATTAATTTAATAAAATATTTTAATTTAACGTAATTTAATTTTTAAATTTTTAACGTTGATTAGAAAAGAAAATCCCTAAAATGATTTTTAGCGAGAAGGTCTCGTTCGACCACAGCCCCCCTTACTACTCCCTTTTGACAGTTTTTATTAAATATCACCCAAATTATTGAATATAGAGCAAAAAGTTTCAAGCAAAGAATAAAACTCTTAAAATGGTCCGCAAAAATGTTATATACACTTTTCATCTCAACTTATGCTTGTAATAGTATACGAAAATATGTAGGGAAACATGAGTACACTACAGCAAGCAAGTTTTAAAATATACAACTTTTTAAATTTTTCGCACTATGAACTTAATGCTACCCGTCAGTCCCCAAAACTAGAAGAAGCAAATCACATTAACGAAAAGTGTCGTGAAAGAAAGTATTGTTTATTTCAGTCAAATATACATGTACATAACACGGCAATGTTATCAAATATTGATAAAAATTTCTAATAACCAGGATTTTTAAAGCTGCAGACAAAAATGTATTCTATTGAACGACTTACACGTCGGAGACAAAGGTGTCATTAACGATAGTGTAATTGAGACACTGAATTAACGAATTAAACTAAACATATTATACATAAGAAGCTTTAAACGTAAGCCGGTCCATCGGCCAATTCGTGTTTCGCTGTTAAATTGGGACACAGTTCATTAATTTTGCAGCCTGCTCTCCATGGCCAGTCACAGACATGGACGGTCGCGTTGAAGTGAAGACCTGGAGGACATGGCATGGCAATTTTATCGCCAGCGAAGCAGACAAAGTAACTGCTGCAGTTGCATGGATGTGGAACGAGTGTAGCATTTTCGTTGGGTGGTGGACATTCTACTGTGATTTCGTCCTGAGAATACACGTAGACCACAACAAAGGCGGCAAGGGCGGTGAACAGCAGTCCTGAAAAATATTAAATATTAGATCGAATCATTTCTGTATATGAATTTAATCCTATGCACTCGATTGTCGCCTCGGAGGTGACGTTTTGAATGCACAAACGAGATCTGCGAGTACAGAGGATGAATGTATTGCAATTCCCAAATCTGTACTTGCCAAATATTCACATTTTCAAGATCTCAGTTCCCAAATTTGTAAGTCACCAAATTTCCATAATGTCAAGTTTAAAAATTAAAAATTTTCAAATCTTCAAGTTCCGATATCTCGAAATTCTCAATTTTCTAAAATTAAAAAATCCTAATTTCTTAAGTTTTCACATGGTCAAATTTTTAAATTGTTAAATTTCAAAACACCAAATATGTAAATTCCCTAATTCCCTAATCCTCAAATTTCTCGTATCCCCACATTTCCCGAATCTTTAAATTAACCCTCAATCAATACCTTCTCCAAGCTACAGTAAACACAAAATAATGGATTAGAAATCAGATTTAATATGAACCCTATAATAAATATATCAATTGTACGATCGAGCACCGATTTCTGTCACATAGAATTAATTTTTTTATTACTTCTGTTATGCACAATTTTATTACGAACTCACCTTTCATTTTGAGTCACTTAGCTCCTTGATGCTTCGAGTTCCTAGACTGACTATGATTGGATTGCAGAATTTCCGTGCCACTATATATACTCATTCGACCAATTATTAATTGCCGAAATATCTTTCTATTATAAGTCTTAATTGTATCCTCTTTCTCGCACTTGGAAGTCTATCCTTCTCTATTTTTGCCGATTATTCTTATCCGTCGCGATATCAGTGTCATGCGAATATCGCGTTTATTTTTCCCGATCTTTCAGCGCTGGAGTTTGTTAGAAGTGGTAGCACACTAGTATGATATCTTTGCCATCTTGAATGTTATAATTACCAATGAATTTGCAGGAAAATCAGCGTAGGGAAATAAATCGATAGCAGAAAAATTATAATAGACCTTCGCAACCATATTGCTGTTTTTAATTTGCCAAATTTTCATTGCACTTCATAATTATCTCTCTGATAAACATAAACGATCAAGGTATTCTCAAAAATCACCTGAAAATAATACAAAATAATATAGCACTGGTATCTTTTAAAAAACCCAAACTTAAAGAATATTTCTGTCAGATCTCAAGAAAAAAGTCGTAAGACAAATTTCGTGTTAAAAAGAAATAAAATTGTGAAGACTGTGCTGAGATATTAAGATCAATATCTACATTGTCGTCACCTTATTAAACGCCAGTACAAGTTATAATTTTTACAACTGCTTTAAAAAAAATATGAGTCAATATTTTTTTGATGTCGAAAATAAAATACATACCATAATTATTGAAATGTTTATTAACAGTCTTCTTTGTTTAAGATTTTGTTGAACAGAAAATTTCTTATCTAAGCTGTTAATTGATAACGTGTATCAGAATGATTAATTGATATTACCGCATCCATTGTACCGAGATATGTAATATTTGTTCCCGATTTCTGTTACGAGTTTGCGAAACGGTACAACGGGTACATTTTGATGCATTGCCGAGCAATGCGTTATGCTTGATGCTTTCGCCGAGTGGTCGGAATATAGCTACGTGTCTTGTTGAACACGAATTCGATAATAAATACTTGGAAATGATAGTGACTAAACGAATTTTTATTATCTTTACGAAACCTTATGTAAGTTGAAGCAAGATTTGAAAAGGAATTCTTTTTTCCGTGAAATGACGCTGTATGAGGCATATGATCGATATCTGTAACATTTTGGAAGTGGGGTAAATAATCGATAAGATATCATTGGAAGCTACTTTCCTTCCTGTCAGAACACAATGCGCGTATTAAGTTGTCCAGATTATATTTTACAATTTGTCATGGAAATTGCATTGTACTTTGAACTTCTTTGTTTATGCGTACAGATATCTGCTTTTTCTCATTTATGAATGGAAGAGTATGGACGATGAAGCAACAGTATTAAAACGTAGTCTTAGAAAATGCCTTAGAAATTTGGCATTTTTGAATTTTTGAATTTCAGGATTTTAGAACTGTGGAAGTTTGGAACTTTTGAATTTTAGAATTTTGGGGCTTGAGAAATGTTAAAATGCGGAGTTTTGGAATTTTAGAATTTTAGAATTTTAGCATTATGAAATTTTGTGATTTTAGAATTGCAGAATTGTAGAATTTTGGGATTCTGGGAATTTTGGGATTTTGGGATTCTGGGAATTTTGAGATTCTGGGAATTTTGGGATTCTGGGAATTTTGGGATTCTGGGAATTTTGGGATTCTGGGAATTTTGGGACTCTGGGAATTTTGGGGATTTTGGGGATTTTGGGATTTTAGGAATGTGGAATTTTGGAATGTTGAAATTTCAGAATTTTGAAATTTTGAGATTTTGGAATTGTAAAATTTTTGAACTTTGAGATTTTAGGATTTGAGAATTTTTGAACTTTGGGACTTTAGAACTGTGGAGTTTTGGAAATTTTTAATTTTATAACTTTGGGGTTTTGGGACCATTAAACTGTTAAATTTTGGAATTTGACCCTTCAAATTTTAGGATTTTAGAATTTGGAATTTCAGGATTATAGAATTTTAGGATTTTACTGTGAAATTTTGTAATGTAGGAATTTTGAAAGTATTATTCTAGTAGTAGTATATTAATTTATAACAAATTAACAAATTATCATGCAGGTTATACTTGAATTTTTTATTACATTGTTTATTTAATTTAATTTAATTTAATTTAATTTAATTTTATTTAATTTTCAATATTGCAACCATGACCTCACATTTACGGTGTCATTGTGGTAGGGATGCATTAAATTTAAAATCAAACTACAGGGTCTTAAAGTAGAGATCTCAAGCTTTAATTAAAAAAAAAGAACATAAATTTGCAATGAGTTTTCACAGAGTTATCATCAGTCAAATTTGGCCAATTTTTGCCTAAAATTTTCTATGCCATATTTCTTTTGAGCAGCGTATGTGGTAATTGTTCAGAAGTGTTATACATTCTGTATCTTGTTCAAACATCAATAACTGATCGATTGTATCTTCGATTACCCATTGAAATATCAAACTTACACACGAAGAATATGTGCTGTAATGGAAACGATAAGATCCGTAAGAAAATTGAGGGATAGGAAGTGATCGATATTTACAGATAGATTAATTAGCCGAATAAATATATAAAGCGGCCGACAATTCTGTTGGGTAGTCGTGATTGGTTTGGTAACGTGAACTTTTGGTCTCTTTATATCACCAAGATAAAATGAAAGGTGAGTTGATTGCCAAGAATTGCAATCCATCATTCTGTCAATCTTCTGTCCTTATACAAGATTTTCTTCCACAATATATTCTACAATTTCAAAATACTTTTTAGTTTCTAAATACAGTTAATTAACCTAATTTCTACAGTTTCAAAATTCTCTTCAAGATATTGACTTTTATCGCGAATAAAAATATGTGCAAATAAGTAGATAATGTTTGCTGTCACTCATTTGTTAGTGTGTACTCGGTTGACAACGTTGTTGCCAATCACTCGGTATCGCGTGAGGTGTCATTGCTTTTTAAATATTGTGGCACACAGAGACCTTCCAGTTAAACAGCTTATGTAGCAAGTATTTCAGTATTGAAGTATTATTACGGATTTAATAGACACATTGTTTATCCAATTTGACCAAAGTCTTCAAAGTATTTTATTTACTAGTTTAAGAATTTTTTTATTGAAATGTTCATTACTGATTTTTAGACGAGTCACTCAAGGATATGTGTGTAATTGTAAACTTTAATTTTATTATAAACAATGTGAAAGTTTATAGAAAGTACAGTCACATCTTAAGGGTTTAACAAGGAGTATAATTTTTTAACATATTTCATTGTTACATTTAGCTTTTCAGTTTAATTGAGAATTTGAGATTTGAAAATTTAGAAATTTCAGGAATTAGGATTCGGAATTTAGTTATTTAGTAATTTAAGAATTTATGTATTTTTAAATTTACGAATTTGTCAATTAAAAAATTCGAAACTTATTCCTACATCCATAAACTTAGAAAGGAAGGTTGACTTGGAAAGGCACTTTAGAAGTATACAAATTTGACAATCTAAAGAGTTACTTAATAAAAAATTTGAAATTATAAATCTTAGTAGTTCCTTAAGTTTCTTCGTTATTACATATTTTTGTTATGCTTGTTTACGATCTCTACTGGCCGCCATTTTGATTAGTTCGTGCTACGACCGTCCGGTGTCGCGTATTTTACATTTCTAAAATGTACCTAATTCCGTTTGTATTTTTTAGTACTGCTCTTCACCCTCTTGGCCTGCGTGGTCTACATAAACGCTCAAAATGACATCCAAGTAAAATGCCCGGAATTGAAAGAAAAAGATCCGCTACTGGTTTCTCATCCATGTGACTGCAACACTTACTATGTCTGCACTCCACCCGGTCCTACTCCCATGCCATGTCCTCGAGGTCTTCAATTCTACCCTCCAAGACAAAGATGTGAATGGCCATGGATTGCAAAATGTGTGCCCCAAGCTGGTTGTCCCGCAAAACCCTTGGACGCGGAAAATGAATTCTTTGAAGAGCCGGCTCATTTTTAATACAATAATATATACATAATGTATTTCATGTTTTAATAAACACATAATATACCGAATGTTTCAATATATACATAATGTAATTAACACTTCATACTTTATTTAATGTATTAATATACACAACGTTTAATCATGGTGTATTAACTCTTTCATTGTGCATATAATGTATTTAATATTTCATTGAGTATACACTGTATTTTAATGTTTCAATATATGTGTTTAATGTTCTAATACAGTATTTTATTAATTAATATAATGCCTTCCATTTTTAAATACAATTTAGTGTTCCAATATACACTTGTATTTAATTTTTTAATGTACACATGATTATTGTTTTAATACTATAAGGACAATTTAATGTTCTGTAACTATGTTTTTAGTAATATCTGTTTTTATATTTTCATAATAAATTCCACAATAATGAACTGGAATGTTGCATACGAATATATTCAAAATAAATCAAATTAGGTTATATAAAATTATTTTTTAAAATACATTAATTCATAATTTTGTGATTACGAAAGATATTTTTAGTAATTATGAAATTGTTCATTTAAATATGAAATTTGTTATTCATTTATATTTTAACGGAATGTTCTTATATTACAGCGTATTATTTTATGTAATACATTGGAAACATAATGCATTGTACAGTTAAATGACTATGTTTCTTCTTTTTCTTTAAGAATCATATGACCATCAAATTATGTCGCAGCTTATCAATGGATCTTATTATCTTCATCCAAACGATAAGGTGAATCATCCTTGAATTATGTGACGTGATAACACGTATCATTCCAGTTACATAACAATAGTCTGTACAATTATTTTCGTTTTAATCATTAAATGCTTCAGTTTTTAATAGTTTAATAATTTTTCTTGAAAATACGAAAATGTATAAGATAAATTAAGAAAACGTGTAAAATGAATTAAGACATCAGATGAATTCTCCTGAACATAAATCAGAAGTTAAAATTTAATTATCTTATTCTTTATCGCGTATTACAACTAAACACTAATAATATATTGAAGCAGTTTCTACGTAACAAATTCGATAAAAGGAATCTTGAGATATCTATAATCAGTTTATCGTTTCGATACAACGAACAGAAGTTGGTTGAAAGCCTCACAATTTACGTCACTGTAGTAATTTTAGTGGAACAACTCGATGACAAATAACATTATTATTCATATTTCAGAAATTAACTCTTTGCACTCGAAGGCATTTTTGCTGTAGCCAGATATCAACTTCAAAACATTTCAGTTAAAAAGTTTGCTGAATTCTTTTAAGATTCGTCCATTGTTAATTGTCGCTATTGTCTGTTCTACTGTGTTCATACATGTATAATGTCATAGATTTAGTTAAAAATTATTTATTTCAAATTGTTGTTGTGTAGGTCCTTAAAATAGGGGGTAGCTGACGTAACGCGGACCAATCAGAGCACGAGGATTACGCATGCGCAGACGCGAGAGCGACTCAAAGCAATCTAATACATAACTGTATAAATTAAACACTATAAACTAAAACCTAATTCTGGAAAACATATTTATTTAAATCCAGTTTTATACACAAAGTGAACACTTCGGGTGTTGTAAAATCTATAAATATTTTTATAAGAATATCTTCTTTCTGCGCTACCGTAGTATAAATGGGATCATGTTTTATCACAACTACGATTAACATAAAATAATGATGAGACAAGTAGAGAAAGGATTTAACTACAAAATGCTTTTCAGATTAAAAATTATAATTCACTCTTTTAATACATATTTAGTACCAAAATTGATCAATGAAATTACAAAAATTTAGAATTTAGATCAAAATTTGATTTTTAATGAATTAAGCTTCTTCTGTGGCATTGGATACTGTTGTTTAATCTATCACGGTTGCGTTCAAATTGGGTTCCGTCGTGCCTACAGTCGTGGAAGCTTCTTCAGGTTCTTCTGGGGTCGTAGAAGGTTCTTCAGGTTCTTCTGGGGTCGTAGAAGGTTCTTCAGGTTCTTTTGGGGTCGTGGAAGGTTCTTCAGGTTCTTCTGGGGTCGTGGAAGGTTCTTCAGGTTCTTCTGTGGTAGATGTTCCAGATAGGCATCGTGCATTTGCAGGTAAATCGCACACCCTTAATCTAGGGTTGAAATGAAGTCCTTCTGGACATAACATAAGGTATGGTATCCCATCGTTGCACAGGTAGAAAGACGAGCAATCGTCTGGATTTTGGAGCAGAGTGACGTCCGCTTCATTTTGTGGCGGACATTCAATCGCTTGCGCGATATAAACGACCGCCAACAAAACTGCAGCAAATGCTACTACTAAAAATTGAAAAACAATTTTCGTTAATATTCACTTGATTGAAAATTTGAAACTTGAAAGAAATAGAAAAAGAGACTTAATTGATAAATTTAACAACTCTTGATACTTATGTAACTAATAGAAGTATGATAAAACTTGTGCACTGAAAAGGTAACTGGGTTAATGAAGAAGGTAACTTGACTCATCTATGGCCCATTATATTTGTAATTATGGTAACTAACGGTTTATAATTTTGTAATTATGGTAACTAACGGTTATGCGTATCACAACCAATTTTATTGAACGATTAAATTAATATTTTGTAGTTAACCCTCAGAATAAAATTCTATTTTCACTCAAATGACAGGAACATTGGTTATTTGTTATTCGAGCAAAGTTCAATACTACATTTTATTGTGTTAAAAGTTATTATATAATTTTTGGAAGTTTTGAAGAAATGTTTTATGATACCAAACTTACTTTTCATTTTCTAGTTTGGAGATTACTGCACCGAATTTGTGACACTTTACACCGGATACTGCAAACTGCATAGTTGCAACTGGAAATTGTCGTTATATATACTCGTCATAAATTTTTTATTTTAACGCGTTAATCACGAGTTTCAACATAACGATAAGAGATAGGATAAGTCAATGGAAATGATAATCCGATTCTAGTATTCCATTATTGTCTTATAGTATAAATCCACGAAACTCTTGAGACGCCATCTTAAATCATTCATGGATACTTATTTTTCAACTCGTTTTTTAATTTTCAGCATTATTTACAATTTTCTACAAATTTTTGTAACACAAAAATTTTCTTTTTATTTTCTAAAATGTAAAATCTTTAATTAATTGCAAATGCTATTTCTCTCTAGCCGACTTTTTTATTTTTATATATTTGTACATTTTTCTTTCAAATTTTTTATCTTACTACAAATCTTTTTAAAAGAATAAATTCAGTTTTATTGAAAATTAAGGACTTGATATTTCTACAAATTTTAACATTAATTCAACTGATTGCATTATTTAATTTATAATGATGTAATAGTGTTATCAGCAGTATTATAATACTAATGTTAAATGTTTCTGTTACTATTTAATTTATTAAATTCATCAGTTATTTCATTACTGACTCACTTAATTCTTCATTACATTATAATTTTCTAAATGTAATTATTTCCCAATTACATTATTTCATTATTTCCTGTATATTACTAATTTAATTCTCCATAAATTTTCTTTCCTGTTTAATTTTTTAAATGAACAGTTTTACAATATTATGTTCAATGACACTGCGTTGAATATCACAACTCTATTTTACTTTTGAAGTACTCAAAAATTTAATAAATTGCAGTATTCATATCAATGAATCAAACAAGTGGAACAATAGTTCTATCAATTTCTAGAAACGTCTCGAAGATAACAATTTTTATAAACTTCACGTAAGATTAAAAATCATTTTTATCAATGATGTAATCCCACTTCCTGCAACATGCAATTATAGATCGATATGTATTATCAAACAGTTATTATCAGGAAGTAATAATTATAAAAGTTTTAACAAATAAGTATGATCTCATGCAATGATAAAATGAATCACAATTGCATTGAAGGCTGAAACAACGTATGCTAATGCCAGATAATTATTCATAATTATCTCAGAATGCTTTGATACAATTTGAAGCAATTGATAAGAATTTCAAGAGTATTTATCGACGTTGGTTTAAATTTATAGCATCGATTAAAATTCATTCTGGTGAGAATAATTCAATGAAACTGAAAAGAGTTGATAAAAATTTGAGGGGACAAAAATGTTTACTGAGGTGCGACTGAATTTATAGGATCGATTAAAATTCATTCGAACGTGAACAGACTAATAAAATTTCAAGGAATCAATCAGAATTTTCGGAACGTATTACTGACGAATATTTCATGGTTTTCTTAATTTAATGCTTTCTATATTTATTAGTAATTGGTTTCCTTTGTAGATGTAGATAGGTTCAATTTTTTAATTCAATAATTTTGAAATTTATTTAAATTAAGTTTGAAATTTATTGAAAGTTAATTTTGAGATTTTATTGGGATCAATTCTCGAATTTGGTTTATTATTAGATTCATTTATTTATTTTTCGATTCTCAAATTTATTAAAAGTAAATAAGTAAATTTGATTTTGATATTTAAATAAAGTTATACTTTAGATTTAGATACATTTTTATTTTTGTTCATTTCTCGAATTTATTAAAGGTAAATAAGTTGATTTATTTTTAATATTTAAATAAATTTACATTATTGATTTATACACATTTATATTTTTGTTCATTTCTCGAATTTATTAACAGCAACTAAATAAATTTAATTTTGACATTTAAATAAATTTGCATTTGAGAGGTACATTTATATTTCTACTTCCTCTCCACATATATCTTTATTTACGTTCTCAAAGAGCTGTTCAATAAGAAACAATGAGTGAATCTAGAATACTTTCACTGCTGCAAAGCAGAGAGATCCCGTTTTCATGAAATTTCATAAGTCTGGAAACTATCGAAAGGCGAACTGAACTTCTTAGAATGTTTTTGAATACCGTCCAAAGTTTCAAACGTCTTGCAATCAATGAAACGTAAGCAAAACTTTCAGAATGCTTTAATAGATTCAGAAAACGACTTCCGAGAATCGAATTCATTCACTTTGCGTCGACGGTCACACCTTCTAGTCAAATAATTTATTACAAATAATAATAATAATTTATTATTATTCTTCGTAGATTTTAATTTAAATCTACGAAGAAAACAGTGTTTATTATTATTACAATAAATTATAATATATTACTATTACCATATTAGCATATTGTTAGCACATATGCATCGTTAGAATATTAATAAATAATCGAAAATAATAATCACTACAACGAAAATAGTTTTACAAACATTTTCAATGCTAAAGCCGATTACTGTAAAATGGAATGAAGAGTATTAGATAAACCAATTGTTAGTATTCAGTTTTTAAATTTGAATGAAATGTATGGTCGAAGTGATACAAAAACAATTTTGTTGAAATTGTAGGAAAGATAATAACTTTGAAAATTTGAAATGGAAAATTGAGAAAATAGACAATTTAGATTTCTGAATTCAGGGATGTGGAATTTAGAAATAAAAAAATTGGGAAATTTAGAAATTTGGAAATTGAGGAATTAAAAAATTTAGTAATTCTGTCTTTTGAGAGGTCAAAAACTTCACTATTAAAAAATTTAAGCACTTGATAGTTTGTCAATATAAAAAAACTAAAATCTTTTCATCCAGAGCAATAAATACCAAATCAAAATTAACTATAATTAAAATTTTATAGAAATTGTCAAAAAAGCGCTAACTTTGCACATTTGGCAAATTACAAAAATTAGAGAATTTGAGATTTGAGAAGTTGAAAATTGAGGAACTTGAAGATTTAAAAATTTTGAAGTTTAAAAGTTAAAAAATTTATAAATTTGATAATTTGAAAATTTATAGCTACAAAAATTTAAAAATTAAACAAACTAAAAACTTTCCAAATCAAATGTTCAATCTTCCAAAATAAAAAATCGCAAAAGAAGAAGTCTGCAGTCCTCAAGTCATAAACATCACAAACTACCCTTACAATAATAAAAATTACGTGGCAATCTTCACCCAGGGCGATAACAATTTTTCAAAGCTCCAACCGAGTTTTCAGGTTGACATTACGATGCAATTAGTAAGACACGAACAACTCGTGATACCTGAAGAGCATCAGAATCGCACAGCCACTATCAGCGTGAAACGAAGGGTTGTTTTGCAGCCGATAAGACGACAATTTCGTGGAACCCAGAGTCAGCCGGGTGTGAATGTGCGCGTGCACACGTACACAGGCCAACACACTCGTCCAGGTTGGTGTCTGTATTAGAATCCGGGGGCGGTTAAGGGGGTGGCCGTCAATGGGGGTGGTTACTGGGATTTTCAGTACGCGCGCGATCGCCGTGCCGAAAACACGGCTGCCGCTCGCGTTCCTCCAACAAAGTGACAACTTACTAAAAAATAACATTGTGAATCTCATTAAAAACACCACCTCATTAAGAACTCCACTAATTTAAATCAATCGACTCGCGAGTTAATTAAATTTCCGCAAAATTCGAGCTTCGGGTGACTTGTCAAGATTCGAATGTTGAATCAAAGACCGGTGCACTGTGGACACCAGGTAGCATTGTAATTAACGATTTTGTCTTGTCGAAGAAAGTTCGAAGTATCGGATGGTTGTTTTGGTAAACAACATGCCAGAGATGTTTCAGCGCAGGAATAAAGGATCGCAAAGCCAAAGAGGAAGACTGCAAACGCGTTGAAGCGGTGGAACGTAAATTAGGTAGGTACGTGTGCGGGGGAGGAACGAAGAAATTCGTGAATAAGATCAAAGGGAGTAGAGCTCTTTTCTTTCTGCGCACGCCACGGATATGGACGTGTTCTACTTCAAGGCAGATGAATTTTCAAGAACGTTGCAATCGTACAGGGATTCCGTACATGGAACACCGTTCGTTTTTTGTTTTCGTTGTTGGTTTCTTTCGGGGGGATGGTGAAAAGGATCGTCTTTGATAGCCTATTATAGCGGTACCGTTTCATTGCCGGAAGGCTTCAGCGAAGCACGGTTTCAAGAAAATTTCAAGATTTTCAATGAAAACCTCAATCTGGGGATTAAGGTTTCTATATTAGGGTGCATGCTTTAAAGCGTGCGTTTCAAAACACGGGTTGTCTAAGGGTTTTCATAATTTGCAACATTCGGTCACGAACTATTTATTTCTAAAGAAGGTAATTATGGCTTTGCTAAGCCGTTCTTTAAGTTGTGTTATTTTTATCTCACAGATAAAAATTTCCATATTCTTAAAATCCCAAACTTGCAATAAAAATTCTCATCTTCCAAAAATCCCACTTTCCCAACATCCCAAAAATTCCCAAATTGATAACTTTTCCAAATAAATTTCCAATCGACCTGTCTCAAAATATAAAAACTTTCACGTTTCACAATCTGATAACGCAAGCTGATTACGAAATAGCGTCACATCAATTTGAACTTCAAAACCCAATAAAAATGACAACATGCTCTGATCAAAGTTTTTCAAATAAAACGTCAGTTACAATAAACAATATGCATCGAAATTTGTAATATTTCAAGCTGTACGAAAGTCTGTCGCGATTTCATGACATAAAAGTGTCAGGAAATAGCATATATGCCACATCAATTTAAAGCTTGAAATGCGTAGAATATTGCAGCATACGCCCTTCATTAATATTCTTAAAACAAAATGTTTGTCAGTTGCAACAAACGATGAACATCAAGCGATGGTTCTTAATGTCTGAAACTACATAAAAGTCAGGCACGATTCGTCGACACAAAAATATTGCGAATGAGTGCTTGTAGCACATAAATCTGAAGCTTAAAGTATGACAAAAACGACAATATAAATGGTTTTACAAAAACTTCATGAAGAAGTTTCACTTGGAAACAAAAGCTCTATTAATTTTACATATTCGTCTATTAATTTCACAAATTT